TTCATTCATTTCTTGAAATCACACTTATATCTATGTAGTCTTTCTTTACCCAGGGCCTTATGAAATATTACATGGTAAATTTTATATAGGAGATTATTGGTGTATTTGTTGCCTCTCCTCTCAAGAAGACTACATTTTTGGTCTAGTGTCTTTATGATATAGCAGCAGGGTGTCTTAACAACATATTTCAAAACAATTTGGTGTAAAGTGATTTATAAATGAGCAAAAAAAGAAGAGAATGTACTTAAAATGAAATAATCCAGGATTGATATATCATGACTATCTATAATATATCTTTGTAAATTTCTCAGTTTCTTAAATAACAAAATTCAGATTAACTGCAGTCTAACCAGGTGTGTGTGTGTGTGTGTGTGTGTGTGTGCACGTTCCTTTCTAGTTACAAGAAATTGGAAACAATTCCAACAATTCCTTTAATCCCATGTGTGCAGTCAGTTGCTTAGCAGGATAGACTCAGAGACACACACACACACACACACATACACACACTACAAAGGGAAATCTTTGAGGTGTGGTATTAGTGTAGTATTAGTGTCGCACTGTGTAAATGCTAGGTAAAGAAACAGTCAGGGGATGGTTTAGAATGAAGATCAGTATTTCAACTCACTTGCCTGCGTTGTTTGTTTGACCCTGATGTCAGATGGAGGGAAAGCTCAAGGAGAGTGGGGGGTATTTTGGGTGGCATGAGCAGCTGTTGACAGAGAAGCAAGATCTTCTGGTCACCATAGCAACACTTGTATTGCCCACACTGGTGTGTCTCTGTGTTTACAGCTTATTTGTGCAATCCTCACCTAGCTGTAAAAAGAATTGCCTGGCTGAGGCCCCTATGTTGACGACGAAAAGCTCAAGAACCCTTGATTCTGTCTTACTGCTGAGTGAGTGTAGAAATATAAATTTTTTCTTAGTGAAACTGTGCTTACATAAGAGCTTGTTAAGACATACTGTATGTTCCTATATAGATGAAATAGTTTCAGTTCCTGTCAGTAGTGGAGACAAAAATCTGATCTATTATATGTTAACCCAAACCAGAAAACTGCCAAATGTTGCATCCAGTTTGTTGGTTTTGATAAAATGTACCGATCATTTACTCTTGATTTCAGATGCAGTACGCAGGAACTTGTGGCTCTTTATCATATCATGCAACATAGAACTATGCAATGGCCTAGATTTGAAGCCACCTTATTTTGCAAACTTGTCATTGTTGTACAGTGAATTCTGTTGTGTATAAAAGAGAATGTGTTCCATTTGTTTATTCAGTGTCCTTGGCAAATTCAAATGGAGCAATAAACCATCTTGTACACAGTTTTATCCATATAGGATTTAATGGAGTGTTATTTATTGTCTAAGTTTGGACGTTAAAATTGACATGTAGAATATATATTAAAGCCGTTTTTCTGCTTTATTCATTTAGGAATGATGAAAATTGTATTGTCTAAGTATATGTGCTGTGCTGAGCATCAAAAGAGCTTTGTGTCCCACAATCTCCTCCACACAATGTATATACTTGCCACCCACCCCCACAAAGCCACATGCATGCCCTACAGCGACTGTTTCCTTGTGTGTGTGTGTGTGTGTGTGTGTGTGTGTGTGTGTGTGTACATGCACATATCAAACCAGGTTATTTTGAGAAACCAGATTAAAGCAGAACATCTAAGTATTTGCCTTGCAATAACCTGGTTAGTGTAAAAGCTGTCTTAACATGTAGCTGACCAATAATCATATTTCTTTCTTTTTAACCATATTTAAGACTTAATGATATATGCAACAAGTTTTCATGACAAAATGGAGCATCTGCAAAAATGGCAAATGGGACCATTCCAAAAACGAGTCGTATGAGTGTGTCTGATCTGCCGAATCTATGATTAAAGGGATAGTAAGTCATTGTAATCCAGTACACTTTGTTAAATTCAACCAATATATACTCACAGTTTGCAACCTCAATCAGCAACATGTGGCGTTAGTGCTTGTGCACAGGAGTGATAGGGGGAGGTGAGCAGGAAGAGATTTGTTTGGCAGGTGAGTTCAAATATCAACAATCCTACTGCAGAATCATTTAATGTCCCTTTAAGAAATAGTTTACAGTAGGGGCGGCGGAACTGGCCAAAAATATAACCACCATTTAATTAACTGCAATCCCGTTTTACCTTGGAATCTTTTTTTTCTCAATTTTGAAATATCCTGTCGACTAGCGTATAGCCAGAAAAATAACCTATGAATTTCTCCATTTGTATCATTAAAACAAATATTACATTAAAGATATTACACAGGTTTCAAAATGGAGTTATTTTAAAGTTAAAGCCAAAAGATAACATAATCATAAACTAACACAATTCACAACCATCTAGTTGGCTACATCACTGCTGGTTTGTTCATGTAGCACAAATCTGCTAGTCAGTGAGGTTGTGTGAAGTTTGGAAAACAGAAGTAAGAGGACATTAAATACCATGATCTCTATTAATCGCGTGAAAAGTGGATTGTGGAAGCCTTAGATCACGATCTTGATCTAAAATGGTCAGATTGCCCACCCCTGGTTTACGGGTCTTGGGGAGTTCTCCTTCAGAGGGAGCTGCTCGATGTCTCATAAAACTCTAAAGCAATATCAAGTTGAACTTTGGGTTTTCATTCCTCTGATTGTGGTTCACTTCTTACGCATAAGATGTGAATACCCAGCCTGTCCGGAGCAGGTTATGTTCGAGATAAGAGATCAACACTATAAAAGCACCGCCTACTGACCAGTCAAATCTCATAATCTCATAAAATAGAATAACCATTTGTAGAAGACTGTTTTTAGGCTGCTTTTGGTGGTGCAGAGATGCTTTTGTTTACCGATATAATCTTACAACAGAGACTGAAGCACTAAAGCCTTGTACTTAGTGTTGTACTTTGAAGATGTGAAAGTACCCCCCCACTTCTTTGAATTCTTTGATTTTTCTTTTTATGTGAGGCTATTTATTATGAGCATATATTTTGGTATTCAAGTTGAGTTTAAGATTTTTTTATTATACTTGTGGTTGCTTTTCTTATGTTATAGATATTTGTAATGATATAGAGACTGGTCATGAACCGCCTTGCCTTTTGCTATTTGGGCGCACGTGAGTTTGTTTTTTTTAATGTTGGAAACTGAAGCCACTTTTTATGGCATGAATGGATTTTTTGTTTTGCTGCTTTTATGAAGTTAATGTAGAACAATGTTTGGAACACTTTTGAGTGTGTTAAATAAATGAATCTGATTTTTGAGGTGATGAGAACATGAAAATGGGAGAGACCACTTTTCTTTGTTAATGTTGACTGACACACAGCCTTTGCAGCTTAAAGAATAAGGCTAAAACGGTCACACACGCCATCTTTCTGCATTTGGCATCTACAACTGTGTTGCTTTCAGCCTGGATTATGTGTTTAACTTCTTATTAACTTGTGTTTATAAGAAGTTATGTGTTTAACTTCGTATTTGACTACTATTAGTTTTTACTCTTTGTAAAATATGCTGCTCTGCTGCCAGTAGACTTGTCCATGATTGTGATTGGTAATCACAAAAACACCGTCCTTCTTATGCGAATGCTCTCATAGCTAGATTGGGAAACCCTGAGTTGACTTACCGAGTTGATAACTAAGTCGTGTGAGTGCTTAGTCTGATTGCGATTGTAGGGTTAGTGAAGGCAAAAAGCCCCCAAATGATATCTTAAGTATGTTGAATTTGCTTCATAGTATAATCAAAAATATCATTAAAAATTGCAAAGGTTTGCGTTGGTGTTGGCATGTTGCTACAGGTACAGGATGGAAAAACTATCCAGAAAGACCAGTTGGAATAATGCATCCAGTAGCATTGAGGCAACACAACACAGCACAGCAGTTAATTATTCTGTAGTGAGGGAGCGGCTATATAAAACGTCTCATTTACTCATCAGTCTTCATTTAATAATTTTGAATAGAGGAATGCACTGCATGTAGTGATTGGTCCCTTTGTCCCCGTGTCTGTTTTTTTTTTTCTCTTTGACAATCAATATAATCTTTAGGGATGTTTGTTTCTTCCATGTATTCTATATATTGTCCACATCAATAGGAATTGAATAGGATTTGTTCTTTGAACAATGCAAGACTGCTGAAATCCTTTTTGGTTTCTACAGAGAATTCTAAACGGCAATAAGCAAGCGGGAGTTGTCATTTTTATTTGATGCTAATGGGTTGAGCATGAGGGAAGCTCTTAGGTCCTGACACTCCCGATGAGTAGATATGATGAATCCTTTCAGTGATCCTTGCTGTCTTGTCACCATCCCCCACTCTTTCCCCAGGGAGAAAATATACTTGATGGTGGTGCCTGTGAACATGCAATTCTCTGTTGAAAGAGAAAAACCCGAACCTAACAATCATATTGTTGAAAATCTATCAATGCGTAATTGTAATTTGTGTGAGGATCATAGGTTTGGGGCATGTTAGCAGGATCGGTGGCTGTAGTTGCACTAAAAACCACCCACTAATATGTTACCCTGATGACCTTTTCTATTGTAAACTACTGAAAGAACCAGTAGGTCCACTGGTTCCTATGCGCATGCATGGAGAGCTAATTGTGAATATGTTTTCATTCATCTGATAATCTCAGCAGGTAATTTCATGTATGACTTCTTCCCCTCTATTTAAAGAAGTGTTAATCAGTGGGTAGAGCGTTTTGTTGGAATGAAAATGTGCTGGCTGTTGTCTCTCATGGCACACTGTTGGCCACCTCTGGTAAACATTAAAAGTGTTGCCACATATAGGAAGTGTTTCCCCTGGAGACTTTAGTTGTCCATCCCCCACCATTTGCCGACCTACGTTGGCTGCCGCTTAGTGACTCATTGAGAGAAACAAAGAATAATGCGCAAATGGTTGTTGTGATTACCTGTGTAAAGATCATTATTTATCACCCTGCTCCCATTCCACCATCCCCCTCTCTGATTCCCCTCCTCCACTTTCTCGCTCTCTCCCCCCCTCCCACCTCCCCCCTCCAGACTGCAGCCCAACCAGAAGCTTCAAAGGCGGGTTTTACTCAGCAGAGCGGTTCAAGAGAAAATGGCTGCTGTTTCCAGGTCTTGTTTGCACATCTGTCAGGAGGTGACTGTTCAGGAGAAAATGGGGTCCCCGGTGTGCTGGTTTTCAATATCATCCTTTTCAAAACCTGCATGTGTTGGAGATGGCTGGTTGTGTAGTTCTCTGTGCTCCATTATTTTTGCATTCAAATGTTCATGTTCAGAAAGCATTTTGTTTGATTTCAGTGATGGATGGATGCTTCTTTGTGACAGGCCCTATTTGGAGCGCTGTGTTCAAGGAGTTATTAGCAGTGGTGTGTTTGTTTTAACCCGGGTAGCTGAAATCTAACATGGTGTGGTTAAAGTATTGCTTTTTGCTATTCCAGTCAATCAAATTCTTTTTTTTTATCTAGATAGTAAATGTCCTGACTCTTTTATTGTACATTAGTTATGATGGAAAAGCCTGAAGGTTTACAGTAAATGATGATTCATGTTACCCGCCTTTTCTGTCTTGTTCCTAATAATCTGCATTCATCATTAGATATTCCTATCAACAACATATTAGTGTATCAAAATTTCTAGCCTCAAACTTTTTCTTTTCTTTTAACTCTGCACACTGTCTCGAGGTGCTGCCATGTAATAAGTGGACTGTGCAGACACCTGCTTGGCTTCAACTCAAATATTTTTATAAATTAATAGGCATCTCAGTTGTTGTCTAATACATGCTCAAATGCCTTCATTAGTTGTGCTTCTGTGATGACATTTAAAAATGCAAACCCCAGAACAAACAAAACACTGTAGCAGAATTACGCAATTGAATCAGAGTTTGATTATATAAACGTGTCCAATTTTACCAAGAACCTACACCATGTAAAGGTCATGGCTTTACACTTTGAGTAAAAAAAACTCCCTCAAACTTTTTCTTGTAAGCAAGTTTTGTTCTTCACCATACAGCCACATATATACGTCAGATCTATCAATGAATAAGCACTTTCTTATTGGTTATGAGACCATTTTCTACAATGTGTACATGATAAACCACAGACTTATGTTATGGTTCAGGGACCATTCAGTTGTATCCCTTCATTATTTGCAGATTCAAAACTTGATCCCAAAGCATAATCTTAACATAATAGCAATGTAATAGATGAACATTTTTCTGCTCCAAGTCATCTGGAAATTGTTTTAACTGAAGTTAGTAATACAGCTTGACTACGTCAGCTGTGTAGTGAAAGCAGCACATCCACAAGACCTGCAGTCCTGTGTCAGTTTCTACATTAGAAGCATTCAGCCACAGTACAGCTGTGCACTCAGAAGTGAGAGGTCTTACAGCCCAATACACAATCCATGTAGTTACACAAGTAAGTTGGAAGAAAATATGCACTTTATGTTGCAATTGTGGGAGTGAAGTGTCAGTTGTTACATAGCTTGTTTAGACAGATTTGATTGTCATTGTCACCTTGAGATGGAAGTCCTGCTCAACCTTCAGACCGGAGTCTGAAGCATAGGGAGATGTTAGCTAGCGCTAACCGCCTTCACTTTCCAGCAGTTGTGGAAACAACAGACCGACTTTTAATAACAGACACACTGTGACCTACACTCATAGACTGTATACCTACACTACACATTTACTGCCAGACTGACAACTTCTTATTTGCTCGCTTTCAGCGTCACTTTCAGACAGTGTGCGAGTGAAAACAATTTGTTCTGCATTGATTCATTCAGTAAGTGATGCGCCGAATACAGGGAAAACATTACGTTATTAATTAAGATTTAGAAAATGGATTTGTGAAATCTGTGAATCAAAAAACGAAATAAACCCAGCTTTAATAGCTGAGCTTATTTACAGTACAAACCTTGTCAGTGATCTATGAGGGCCCAACAAAAAACAACATTCAAAAACAAAAGAATTGTTCAATTATTGTAATCGAGGTATAATGTTCAATTAATTGTGATTTTGATTTTAGGTAAAATCGTTCATCCCTACGACAGTATTACAGTATAAAGGCCTTTTTGACCACAGCTTCAGGCCATCATGCTCTGAGGTGCAAGTATGTAGTCTTGGCAAGCTGGTGTAGTTCACATTGTCAAGCAATTGCCACAAGAGTGCTGTAAACATCCTGAAGGCCTAATGAGCCTGATGACCACAGCAGGGGTTCTCATCATTGACCTATTAAGGTTGGTGTCTGTCCCATCTATTGTCTTTCTTTTCTCCGGTCGTCTGTTTGCATTTAGAAATGTTAACACCAATCTAATTATTGTATATGTATATTAGTTGCTGTTTATGTGAACTGACTGTCCATGCAGAGTAGAGTAAATATAATATTGGGTATGCTTTTAAACAATTGTTGCTCACTGATAATTTCATTTAGAGACTATAAATGAAATTTATAAAGCTATAGGAAATTAAATGGAGAATTTATAGACAAGTACATGTTAATTGAAATGCTTCAATAACTGATGTTGGTTTTGCTCTAAAGTGTTGTCATCTTTGTTTCTGGGTTCGGACACTGGGTCTGTTGTTACCATGTTCTGTCACACCAAGAGGAATTGTTCATTTCTAGATGATTGACACATTAGTCTAACCTGCTAGTTGAGAGAATGGCAATTTACAACAGTGCAAGGACTATCAGTGTAGAAACCTGTCCATTTGGCAGGATCTTTCAATATAAAACTTCAGAGGAATGAAAGAGGGGAAAAAGAGAAGGAATAACACTGATTATTTTTTTTGTATGTAGTGCCAATTACAGTCAGAGCTCGATAGAAAACAAACTGGTAAACAAGATATATTGCAGAAAGTGGCGCAGTAGCTCCATTGTAAGAGTTTTGAGGGTGAGTTTTTCCAAATAAATTATGAATTGACACACATTTTACTGTGACGTTTAATGTTACACAGCTTGTTGGCTGTATTGGTGCATTCTTCTTTGTCTCAAATACACAGAGAGTGAGCATAGCCTAATACCTTGTTGTGCCACTTGATGGGATTGAATCGATTTGATGATTATAATGCATAATATGGTTTGATTCCATAGATGTATTGATACTCTGTCAGCGTTCAGCATAAACAGACTTTTAATTTGGTTTCGTGTTAGGTTGAAGGTGGCAAAGCAGCTCTGTAGTATTTCCACGTAGTGTAGTATTTGTTTCTCGTCTGGCTCAAATATACAGTTAATGGCTGTGGGATTTCTTTTTTACCTTAGTGATGAGGCATGGTTCATGTTGCTTTAGCAACTTAAGCCTTGTGGAATAGTTGTGCGGGACTAAGACTTTGCCTGCATTGTTCCAAGAGTCTTTTTGATTTTATTTTGATCTTACCGAAATTCCAGCCCATGCTATCTGGGTGATTTCTTTTTTATTATTTGATTTGTTTAACTTAAAATACAGAAAATCACATGCATACCTACAAACAGTTGCCAGTTTATTTAGCTACACATACCTACCTAAAACTAATACAGCAATAATCAAACAGTGCTGGAATAAATCTTACCATTACTGGTTTTAATGTACAGTTTTTATTGAACCTTTTTTAAAGAGTTGTTGATTAATTTTGGAGGCTGTAGTTAGTGGTGCTGTTGAGTAGTATTGTATTATAGAGAAACTGTGTTTCTAATACTGCTGCCACAAGTAAAAGTTTTCTATTCAACTATTAGTTGTTAGTTCAAACCCTTAGTTGACTAGTCCTCGTACGTTTATGATGTTCATTCAATTATTTAAATATAGGTTTTTGGGGGCATCAGAAAATAAATGAAAATGAATGAATTCCAGCTCTGAGAAAGAATGTTACAAGTAATATTCTTAACACTGTGGCATATAGGGCTGGGTGATATGCCTAAAAATGTAATTGCGCTAAAACAATTCTGCAACTAACTACTTGACCAAAATAGCTGACCAAACCATTTTGTCCACCCTGTACCTATGAGGGTAGACTAAATATTTGAAACACCCTCTGAGTATAACGTGTGTTTCCTGTACCTCTTTTAAGCCGCAATATCACATTAATGCAATAACCATAATCAAGGATGTGTGGCTTTATATCTGTTAATATCTCTGTCTAGTTAACTCTATCTCCTACCTCTTTCTGTACTGTGTAAATAGTGTTTAGTGTAGTGTAGCAGTCTTATAAGCAAGTACATTTTTTCCCTTTGTGAGGTCTTTTTTTTCAGAGGGATCATATTGCAGACTTTGACTCCACTTATCACTTCGGTGGATAAACACTAGAGCCATTGCAGAGGTTAGCATTTTGTCTGTTTTCCTGGAAGGCACATTGTTTGGTCAAAGGAGGCTTGGGTGTCGAGGGAGTTGTGTAATGGATGGTGGCATCATGGGCCCATCTGATAGAGGGATTACTGCTGCTGCCCTGCACCGATGGGACCTGAGCCCCTCCAGGCTGCCTGTTAATTACGTTTCCAGTTGTTTGGTATGTAGCAGCCTTGGGAACAGTGGCTACCTTGCTTTGATGTGGCTACCGCTTCCTCGTCGTATATGTAAACTGAAGAGAAACATGGTGGCAGTGGTCAAATTAGAGCACAATGGCCAAGGTAGACAAGCTTACTGTTGTGTTTTCTAGAAAACAGAACATTTGCTTTTGAGTGTTATTTGTTATTTAATTTAAATGATAATGAGACTTGATGAAACAGTGAAATGAAACCAGTATTTGTATGTCTAATATTTCTGTGAGATTCTGGCCTGTTTTTTGCAAGATTGTTTTACTGCAGGTGTATCTTAAAGGTTCATAGTGGAGGATGTAGTGCTATGGAGCTGTTTATTTATGAGAGGGGTTCCTGTTTTGTTGGTCAGTGTTTCCCATTAATTAACGAGACTATGACGGCCCACCACAGTCTAACTTGTCTAATCTGTTCTGCCATAATTTCAAAAATTAATCGAAAATATATTATCGTGAAAGACTTCTAACGTTGTGTTTCTGCTGCTGCTCCCCGCTGCTGTAAACTTGCATACTCACACACTTAGGCATCTGACTCGAGACAAGCACTTTTCTTTTGATGTAATTACGGTAACGTTAACTACGGGTTTGAACAACGTTGAGTATATCCACTGTCACTCGTTTGAGATTGCGATCGAACTAGCCGCTAAATTTGTAAGTGCACACAATAAGCAGTTAAAAGGGGCAGACCGAGCTGGCAGGCTGGGTTAGCGACTTTATTCTGTAATTTTCTCACTTTACAAAGTGTTACAGTATGAGAGTCTTACCTGAAGAGAGGCTATTAAATTAATTAATTGTACGCAATACAACACAACATACAATATAATGTATCAAATTGTGTCAAACTTGGTGAATGTAGTGTGAGGATACACGTGACAAAATCCGGTTTTCAAAATAAGGTGTTAATAATATGTTAACGTATACAGTATTCAAATGAGATTAATAGGATTATATTCACAGGAAATATTTAACATGGTAGGGTTAGGGCTTACAAATTATACTTTGATTTAGGGTTGCTGGAAAAACCTTAAATGAATTAGCTGACTTTTTTGGTATTTCGTCACCCTTTATATCTATACAGTGTATTTGTGATTTATTTACAAAATTGTTAGAATGAGTGCAAAGTTCTTCATGGATCTAGGCTCTTTATTTTGCTTTTAAAGTGCACCAAATTAATGCACTTAACTTTTAAAATGTACAAATACTTCTTCCGGAGGGGCATGCCACTGGATCCTCTAGAGGGTCGATGTCCACCCACCATAGTCTCTCAAAATCCTGTGTGAAACACTGTTGGTATTGTGCACACTGCATTAGGACAAACATTCAGGCTTATGTGCACTTGGGTGATGCCATACACAGCCCTGCTGATGGTGTCACATTATTTCACTGACTTGCAGGCAGCTGTAATGCTCCAAGAAGCGCAGCATTGCGCCAACAAACATGGGGAAAAAGATGACTGCAAGTTAGTAAACATGGATGTAAACAATACAGGATTTTAAATGTTTTTAAAAATCGGCTTCACAAATGTTTTATGTGGAGGGAAATATTCATCACGTTTGGTTGATCTCAAGATTACACACACGTTTGGGTGAGTAACAGTGAATGTAAACGTAACTTTTGTTTGTTTATAAGGAAACGCCACAGAGCGCCTGTAATAGCAGCTCTTTTTATGTTAGCTAATGTCTTCACTTTTATGGCTGCAGCAGCTGCAAATGTTGTTCTAGTTCTTAGCATGTCTGCTGTGGTACAGTAAGGGCAGTCTCCATCGGAAAGAATATACCAAGGTGAAAGAGTGAATAATTCATGTTGAGTAACATGTTCAACCCCTCTGGCTGTATGCCCACTGGTAATTGGGACAACACCATTCTCTAGTCTATTTTGCTCGATCTCTCTTGTTGCTATGCTACCAAAGGGGAACCTGAGTGGGCCTGGACAATGTTTCGAATGGAAGCTGGACAGCCATGCAGTCTTCATACCTGACACCACCCCTCTTTATTTCTCTTTGAATTCTCAGCAAAGATGTCTGTCAGTGGGAGAGCAGGAAATAATTATTATATAGTTTGTCATGACTCATTCTCAGCAGGTTGCAGTTGGTTTCTTTTGATAAGCATTTTCCTAACCTCAACCTGCTAATTCTCTTAGGTGTACTATACGTTTACATTGTGTGTGTGTGTGTGTGGGTGTATAAGCAAATTGGGAAATTAAGAACTCTGCAATATTCTTGCAGTATTCAGCAGCCTGAGGACAAAAAACATGATGGGATTAAAAACATAATTGCTTTTTAGCTCCCTTCAGTTTTGAGACCGTCTCAATTGAAATGTTAACATAAACTCTGTTTAACACCACTATTTGTTGAAAATAACAGATGGGAAGGTCCGGCTGAATGCTATGAATAATTCGCCTCTTGCTTTCTTCTGTAATTCACTAGATGGTCAGTAGACAGGCATTTAATATCCTTACGGCTTTATCTGGGCTCTTTTCCATCTAAATGGCTGGCTGGGTCACTAATGGGAAGTACAATTGAGTTCTCAGTGAAAGCCAAATGGATATAGACACTCTATTAGGTCAGAGGAGAGAGGCTGGAAATACTTGCATTCAGAACTAGAAATGGATTCACAGGTTTCGTGACCCAGCCATTGACATTGTGCATTGGGCAAGAGGAGAGTAAGCAGTTACTAACGGAGGCTGGACATCAGGGCTGTCCCATGTGTATGTTAGTGTGTCTGTTAAAAAATACGATTGCATTTGACTGCATCACTAAACAACGACTGGGACATATTTGTGCAGTGTGCAGAATTCTATTTTTGTTGGAGTGTGATATTATTTGTTAGAATGACGTAAGCACATGTCATATGCTAGACCACAGACATAAATGCTAATATCAACTCCCATTTTTGGTTATATTTTCAGGAGTGAGCCCAGCCTTCCAACATACCTCCTCCCTTTCGTTGGGCTAAGATGAGTATTACCAGTGACGAAGTGAACTTTCTGGTCTACAGATACCTCCAAGAATCAGGTTTGTCTCACTAAAATCTGCTAAACCCACTGATACTGTTTATGCAGAAATTATTATTATTAGTATTGCTGTCATGCAACAATTTCTAAGGACAAAGCACATACTACTAATAATGTTTTAATGTTACGGATCAAAACTTGCACCCTCCATTTATAGTGGATGGACATAAACGGGCCATTCCCCCTCCTTGTATGTGCACAGAATATTGCCATTCATTCTTTGAAAGGATTTGGATGTAGATTTAAATCCTAGCTGCTGTTTATTTAGTCTGCTTCTGAAGCCATATGGCACAATACAAGCTCCTAGTTAGCCCCGTGAGGTCAACATTGATACTGGCGTGCCTTTATTAAACTCTCAAATATCATACTTGTTATGCAGTTTGGTTTTGTATTCGATTACTGTTAGCTTTGTTTGCATCAGACAAGATGTTTCTGTGACTATTTGTGATGTGTTTGTGCACATCTTGTGCTTGGCACTCTCCCGTTAATGAATGTGAATGGTGTTTTGTTTTCAGGTTTCTCCCACTCAGCATTCACCTTTGGCATCGAGAGCCACATCAGCCAGTCTAACATCAATGGAACACTAGTGCCCCCTGCAGCCCTCATCTCCATCCTGCAGAAGGGGCTTCAGTACGTGGAGGCAGAAATCAGCATCAATGAGGTGAGTGCTGGGACCTGCTGCTACTAACTCCCACAGATGTTTACTGTTGCTTAATGATAAAAAGACAGACTTTGATCTCTGTCATCACACCAGGTCAACTGCAAATGCTTTTAATATTTTCAGCCATCCTTGCGCTGGAAGAACCAGTGAAGAAGTTTTGTAGAGGAATCCCAATTAGGAAACACTCTTCACCTCTATAATTGATCATTACCAGGAAATGGATTTCTAGACAAATCGCTAATTAAAAGGTCACATCGCCTCATGATGCGATATTAACTGCTGTTGCCCTGACAGGATGGTACAGTTTTCGACGGTCGGCCAATTGAGTCGCTGTCACTCATTGACGCGGTGATGCCAGACGTGGTGCAGACGCGGCAGCAGGCCTTCCGTGACAAGTTAGCTCAGCAGCAGGCGGCCTGTGCCATGGCAGCGTCAACCTCTGGAAACCAATCCAACGCACCAAAGAATGGAGAAGCCACTGTCAATGGGGAGGAGAATGGCACTCACAACATTAGTAAGTTGGATCTCCTAATTGTCTCACATAATTGACAATGGCATAGTCTCTGTTAATTAGTAATGTGATCAAATGGTAATCAAGAGTGGTTAAAAGAAAGAGACAAGCAGACAAGTACAAAAGAGTCTGCCTTCTATGTAATTTTATAAACTTGCAGCTCAACAAATGGTTATAATGTTGAAATAAAAAATAAAAGAAAAAAGCCTTTTGGCAAAAAGGGTCAAGAATAATCCTTGAAATGAAAGAGCCATTAAGTTAAAAAGAAAATGCTGGTTTCATTGTAGCATTAGTGGTCACCATAAAGTACCTTTGAACCCAAATTATCATGGCTATGGCAGAATTATGTTGACTTACTGTAATGCTTAGTTTGACTAGTATTTGAGCGTACACAGGCTCATCTGGACTAGAGCCTGGACCGATATGGGATTTTCAATACCGATACTGATTTGCTATTCCGATACAATGGCCAGTATTCCTTTTTTCCCTTCTCTTCAGAAACGCATAACATAAACAAAGATTATCCCCAACCTCATCTAGATAACATAATGCAGTTTAAAAATAAACTTTTTTTTATTGTTATAAAGAGTAGCTGTGCAGCTGTGTTTTGTGCTGGATTACCAATAGGGGGAGTTGCAGAGTGCCCTCTGGTGGACAAACTGTGCAACGACAACACTCATAACATGATTGAAGATGCCTCTCCTTTTTTTTTTTTTTTTTAAATTGACATTTATTGGCTGATATAAACACAGATACCAATATATCTGCAATTAGCTTGTGTTGGCAGATAATATCAGCGCACCGATTTATTGGTCAGGCTCTAATCTGTACCATTATATGAATCTGCATGTGGGACAGGAAAGAGAATTCAAAGACATGGCCGGAGTTAACTCTTCTTGCACTGTGTTTTAGCTCTGTGCTTTCATAAAGAAGCAGCCTGGTAGATTTATTACACTACCAAATCATCAGTTTTTCTACGGCTGAACAATTAATCGAAATCATATCGAAACTGCAATATGGGCTACAGCAACTTTCAAATTGCAGGAGGTGCAATATGGAAATAAGACAAAATTTGTGTCAATATCATTTTTAAAAAAAATATTGTTGTGCTGCAGAGATGTCCTGGCCAACACATCATATTCTACAGATTTAAGAAAACATGAGAATAATTATGTAAAAATGACCATTCCCTCCAATAAATGCAATATCAGTCAAAATAATCGCAATTGGATATTTTTCAAAACTGTTCAGCCCTACAGAGAAACAAATCAGCCATGTGGTTTTCACAGAATGTGATATCATTATAGCAGCTGTGAGTAAAACCAGAGAGGTGTAGATCAGGTGGAGCTTTAGACAAGGGGAAGAGGAGTTGATGTTTGTATCAGCACATCCCTGAAGAATTTAATTCAAAAGTGTGGATGGCAACGGGAAGAGTCGGGTGTGAGAAAGGTTTCACTGTCAGAAGATACAGGGAGGCTTTTACATATTCTTAAGGCTGGAAGCTTCACTGTGACTGGATTCTCATTATACTGTGATAAATGTGTGCACTCCAAGTGGGTCAGTATCAGACTACGATAAATAAAACCGCACTGGCAAAAACCAGGAGAAACACAGTATTGATTTTCTTTTATGTCTTCCTGTTATTTAAAGGTAGCCCTTCACCATCTTACACATCTGGTAACAATGCGTGGGTGAAGTGTGTTTGCATGTATGTGTTGAGGCATACATAAATATGCATGCTTGTGCGCCCACTCTCCTCAGATAACCACAGTGAGCCCATGGAGATGGACGTAGATGTGGAGATACCTGCCAGCAAAGCCACAGTGCTCCGAGGCCACGAGTCTGAAGTGTTCATCTGTGCCTGGAACCCTGTCAGCGATCTGCTGGCCTCAGGGTGAGTCTCTGTCTGTGCTGAAATAGAGCTTAATTTATGTTGGATGAGTCATACTATATTGTATGCACACTTTGGCTTTTATTTTGTATGATATATGGCTTCATAAGAGTCAGCGCTGACAGCTTATGTTCCAACAATCTTTTGACCCCCTCCTGCTGCGTTGGTATTCTGTTCAGCTCGGGGGACTCCACCGCTAGGATCTGGAACCTGAACGAGAATAATAACTCCAACTCCACCCAGCTGGTGCTGCGCCACTGTATCCGAGAAGGTGGCCAGGACGTCCCCAGCAACAAAGACGTCACCTCACTAGACTGGAATGTAGGTTCCAGAACACCCATCCATATCTTTACTCTTCTGCTTTTACCAAGGGGTAAGCAGAATGTGCAGATGAGGACGGTTAAGTAACAGTTCTGTTATCTTTCCATCCAACAGAGCGAAGGCACTCTCCTGGCAACGGGCTCGTATGATGGATTTGCCAGGATATGGACAAAGGATGGTATGTCCTCCATCATTCCAGAACGGTGTTGTTTCCTTGGTCATTAGATTTAAGCCATTGTTATTGTGAATAATGCAACATCTATGACAATTTTTTGAAGGATCTTTTCTAAAAGAAATGGATATGGCTCTAATCCATTAGGAAATCTGGCAAGCACCTTGGGGCAGCACAAAGGGCCCATATTTGCACTCAAGTGGAACAAGAAGGGGAACTCTATTCTCAGTGCTGGTGTAGATAAGGTATTTAATAAAGCATGGATTTGTGTCTGTCAATAATAATATCCTCATGCCTCTAATAACCTCCAGGGCTTGACATTCACCTTTTTGATCACCAGCTAAAGTGTAAATCTGTAAGATATAATTTTTCAGGAATCCACAAGCTACAACGCAAACTGCACTTTCATCAGTAAATCCTTTGTACAGCATCATTGTAGCATGTAACCAATTCCAATTAAATATAACTTTATAAGTAAGTTAAGTGAAACATAGAAAAATGTCATCTGCGAAAGTTATTTACATTCAAGTTATTTTGTGCTACTCTGACATGAACTGCAGATATTGTGAATGATTCTTTGAAAATAAATCTGCCATGGAGAAGTTGAACAGGCAGAAAAAAATGGCGCACACCAAGGACAATGACTATGACACTAGCTATTTATTTTGTTTAGTTGTCTTTTTTTTACCCTGCTTACCTATTTGGTGAGATGGCAGGTTTTTATTTCAAACCCTGGCAGTCCTTTAGAGAACAACTTAAAGAACATTTAATATGTCGCATTATTTATAATTATGCATTCAGAAATGTTGCATTCATGGTTTGAAAGTTTCAATTTAATTTTCCAGACAACAATCATTTGGGATGCACACACAGGAGAAGCCAAGCAGCAGTTCCCTTTTCACTCAGGTAAAGTGAGTTTACTGTGCTTCAGAACAATAAAAGCGATTCATTGTAGGTCATAAATAGGATGCAAAATGTTTCCTGCTCAGTTGTGGTTGTATTGTGAGCTCATAAACCTCCCAACCCTTAATGAATGCGGACCTGTGCATTGAAATATTCCACAGCCCCAGCACTGGATGTCGACTGGCAGAACAACACCACCTTTGCCTCCTGCAGCACAGACATGTGCATCCACGTATGTCGCCTTGGCAGCGACCGGCCCCTCAAGACCTTCCAGGGCCACACGGTAAACAGCTTTTTCTGTGTTGCTCTCCTGACCTTTATACCATGCTTACTCCCTTGAGAGTCACGCTAACGAGTTTTTGTGTTTTGCAGAATGAAGTTAATGCCATCAAGTGGGATCCATCAGGTATGCTGCTTGCCTCCTGCTCAGATGACATGACCTTAAAGGTGAGACTAGTCCCCCACTCTTACAGCTTAAGGACAACAAATCTCAGTGGTGATTTGTATTCAGTCTTGTTTTGCTTTTGCTGTTTCCTTCACACAGATTTGGAGTATGAAGCAGGAGTCATGTGTCCACGACCTCCAGGCTCATAGCAAAGAGATCTACACTATCAAGTGGAGCCCCACAGGCCCCGGCACAAGCAACCCCAACTCCAACATCATGCTCGCCAGGTGGGAAATCTCTCACACAGAGCTCAGATTTGGTACCACACAGGGCAGCCATCTCCGTTGCTCAATTTTGAAAGAAAAGTGTGTGTGCTGGGAACAAACTGTGTATATGTGGGTGTATATGTCTCGGTATGTGTATGTGTGGAAGGGGACATTTGCCAATGTCTGGCATTCAGAAGAAACCATGTTCTAGGCAAAATCCCAGTGCTAGTAATTGTCAGTGGCCCACAGCCCTACACCCAGACCCAGATGTGCATACATTGTGTAAATGTTATAGTCCAAACACCACAGGAATGACAAAACAGCATACCTGACCGTAATTTAAATTTGGAAATACACCTGCCATTATAGCCACTGCTTAAAAGGTACTACATAATTTTAAGTAAATTCTGCCATTGAAAAGTACGCCTGCAATACATTTTTAATTGACTTCAATTTTGCTCTCTGCATAAATCCGAGTTTGCTGTGATTTGTTGCCAAGGGCACCCATAAGAGATTAGTTCTGCCTATTTATACCTTTGTGAAGATGATGTGTTAATTGAAATCAGCCCCTTTAAATTCTTTCAGATAAATTCTGAAAGACATTCTGATGCTAAAAATCTTTGGAAATATTGAAATACGCCACTGAAAGGCATCTTGTAGGCACTGCACAAATTAGAAGTTTTTATGACTAGCAAATATTTCTAAATGGGTGGTCTTTTATGATCCATTTAGAAAATAGATAATCTTTCTATCCTAGGTACTGCTCTTATATCTCACATGTGGACTTTGGCTTTTCCCCACCATAGCGCCTCTTTCGACTCAACAGTACGACTGTGGGATGTTGAGCGAGGGGTTTGTATTCACACACTGACCAAGCACCAGGAACCTGTCTACAGTGTGGCTTTCAGCCCCGACGGCAAGCACCTGGCTAGTGGCTCCTTTGATAAGTGTGTCCACATTTGGAACACTACGGTAAGCGTTTGGTTATACTGTTCCAAACAGCAGAGGAGAACATTTGTTGTGATATTGCTAAATCTTGATGGAGTTGGTCATTCACTTGTTTGCACTGTTGTTTCAGACTGGAGCCTTGGTGCACAGCTACAGGGGTACTGGTGGTATTTTCGAGGTGTGCTGGAACAGCATTGGTGACAAAGTTGGTGCCAGCGCATCAGATGGTTCGGTAAGCCATGGCGGTTGTGATTATGAAGTAGTAATTTACAACAGTGTGCAGTTCCTATTTAAATGTTTTGGGTTTGGTATACACATTGGATTAGAAAACACAATACTATTATTTTGAGAACAATAGGTATAAAAAGATATGTTGCTTTAAATCTGTTATTAATGCTACCTAATTCTTTACCTTCTTAGGTATGTGTGCTTGATCTCCGAAAATAGCTGACTTAAGACTTTCATGATGAATCCTGGAATGTGGAGCAAATTGCCTTCTTCTGCCGTCAGCAAACTCGCTCTCATTGCTCAAGAAGAGCTGTAAGGTGGAGTGAAACAAAACCCATCACAGGCGTAAAACCAGATTACTGCAACAGCTTCTGAGGAGCCAACAGCAACTGACTTCAGTGCACCTTACAGTTTGTTGATGTGTGTTTTATGACAAGCCTATTTGAAACGTAATGGAAGGTGGTTAAGAGATCCCCAAGACTGGACTGAATCCAACTCCCTGGGTGCATCCATGTTTTAAAGGTTTCTAATGAGGAAGTGCTGCGATGCCTCCGGGCCACTGGTCCAGCTGTTATCGGGATTGTATGGGTGGAAACACAAAGATGAGTTTCATATAAAGAGTAAAGTGTTAATGAGACACACATGTTTGGCTGTGAAAGGCAACAAATTTTGAAAGAATGGTGGTGGTTTTAGAATTCCTCTCAGCAAATGTTACTTCATGTCCAAATGAACTAACTGGGGCCGTGATAAGAGTAACATGAATACTGAAGCACTGGTTTTGTCTGTTGACATGGTGCTTAACTTCTTCTAAGTGGAGAATAGTTTGTTTCAAGAGTACTTCTTGCTTTTTTTGTCTGTTTTCCACAGATGGACTTTTGAAAGTCAAAACTGAATGTGCCGCTACGAGGTAGTTTTAAGCTTACGTTTAACAACAGGTCAACAAAAGGAAAACCTGCCAAGAAACAGTACTAACCTCCCAACATGACCAGCTCAATTCACTCGAGATTAGAAATGTCATTTTGTGGACAAGAGGTGAAAAGTTTGGTTTACAAAGAGAATTTTCTCCCTTTTTTTTGGATGTAAATTTAAGAATGTAAAGATATGTAAATTAGATTAATACACAGACTTATATACTGTGTATATATGTTTATATACAGTACACTTTATTGCCATTCTGTAGGGGCTCATTAATGGCTAGAGCAGTCACATCTTTGCTGATAATACGTGGCGAGGCCTCCTTTTTAAATGAAGTGCATGTCTCATCAGCTTCTTTTAACACACTTTTTCAACTCTGCCAATCATATCCAATGCATCAGAATCCTTTTTTCAGTGAGTCACAAATGGCATTGACACAGATGTGTTCAGCGACTTTGCTTTCCACTATTGATCCCTGAAAGCCATGGAAGAAACATTTGCCTCATTATCTGCATTCAGGGAGTTATCTGGTCAACAATAGTGAAGGGAACGGTCATCACAGTCTCCTGTTTGGTTTCTGCTTTAACTTTGTATTGTATTTGGAACGGGACATCACAGAATCAATGTTAAGAGTGTCATGCAGACGTGGGCGGGAAAACAGCTACAGCTTAGTTAACATTATCTCTTTGGCACTTTCCTCTGAATAGTCTACTGAAAATTCAGAGCACATTCTGACCAGGAGGTGGAGGTCAAGCAAAAGTCCTGCTGTTGCTAAAAGAAAAAAGCTATGATTGGTCTTGTTAAGTCCCGCAGAATGCTGCCAGCTGATCAGATTTGGTCAGATCTCTGAAATCTGACCAATTCTGATCAGTCTGTGTTGTGGGCTGAGCTGCAACTGTGTGCAGTAAGTCTGCCTCCGTCTGCTTACTGGGATCTCGTGTAAAAGACAGTATCTTCAAACTAACTTACCACCACTTTGATTAGCCTTTTTTTTCTGGTCCCCTTCCCTTTCAGTCAACTTCTGGTTGAGCAATGTGAAGTGCACCTTTTTGTAAGGGTGGGTTCAACAAATATTCAGATTTTGCTGAAAGTGAAGGGCCAATGTTTTATTTTTCTCCTTTTTTTTTTTTTTTAATGTCACGATTGGACGTTAATGGGTGGTTCATGGTTTTCTGACCTTTTCATTTTCTGAGAGCCATTATTGTCTGTGTCAGACTGAGAATTGGGCTGTGGGGTTGGTGGCGTACTAAGGAGCCCAGTATGGGATAAGTGCTGTGACAGATACTATCTCTCTTGCACCCTGGTTCAGGGTGTGGTCACCTGTTTCCAAGACAAAACGTTGAAGTCATTCAGTGTCTCAAATAAATCACTCTATTTTGATATCAGAAACCATGAAGTCTGTGTCGTGAATTGGTGTTTTTCTTAACTCAGGAGTATTTTGTTTGAATTAACGGGCTTGCTATGCAGTCCTCTGCAACCACTCAAAACACATTAAAAAAGTGTCACCAACAAAACTGTAACAAATATTTTGGATATTTAATATAGTACAAAATAGATGTGTGCAAAAATACAAGATGGACAGCTGGAAATACAGTAACTTTGTTTAAAAAAAAAAAAAAACAACCACTAATTAGCTTATTACATTCTGTTGTGCTTTGGGGGCTTATTGACAAGAGTGCTTATCACAAAACCAATGTGCATCTAATTCAGTGAGTTTGCCAGGAGAGATTTTTCCACCAGGCACTTTTGAAGGGCAGCTTGTGAGTTTTTAATATGAACATGTCTTGTTTGTTCCTTGGACTGAGTGCTACAAGAGACAGTGCTGTAGCTCTGGGACTGTACAGCCGCTGTACAGTTGATGGTTCTGTATTTCAACACTTCTCTGCACTGCAGACAGATTTAAAAAGCTTAGGAAATAAAAAGGCTTGGATTCAGGAATTAGACTTATTCCGTCGTACCAACTAATGAAATCTCATGACCAGTTAATATCTGGGAAAGTCTCAACTGGACAATAGAGGCTAAGAGAAGACTATCTAAAACAATATTAACTACAAAAAACAATGTCACACAGGAAAAGTAGAGGGAGGAGGGTTGTTGATCACCCCAGCTAGTGCCTCACAGAGTTCTCCAAGGATTCGCCATCAGCATCTACATCCTCATAGTCTCGAAGCTCGCTGGAAATGTGGATTTCAATTGTACTAGACTCTGAACCTAGCAAGACAAAATGGGGGTAGATTACTGAGCGTTACTGCACATTACACCTTCACAGTTTATCAAACTGCTTATCCATTGAGATATTCTTAAATAAATAAATCATATCATAAATGTGCATTGATTCACAAATGTATTTGGGGAATTTGAATATATGTCCTGCAAATACATTTTTAATGTATTGCATTTCAGAATTGAGACTTTTTATATTATATTGACTGAAAAACATTTTGAAGGCTATATGTAAATGAATGGAAAACATAAATCCTTTAAAAGATTAACTTTATTTCTAAAGACTGGTGACAAAACATTGAATAGCCTTTGTACATTTTCTACACGGTGCACAAACTACAACAAAATTGCATAAAAATGCTTTTCAAAAGCATCCCAAAATACATTTTCTCTTAACAGGCCTTTTTTCACCGCAGACATATTGACTTGTGATAGAATGAAAAGCCCAGGCCTTACTATGAACATTAGCAATGGCTCTGTTCTATTCAAGTGTCCCAGTAAATCGTTACCCTGAGCCAGCATGGACACCACCAGGACTTTGAAACTGAAGCAGCCAAATGGAATTCAGCCACTCATTTTATTATTCACACTTGTACTTTTCCTACTGTAACATGTCAACAGGTCCTGTGTGGAAAAGAGCCTCTGGTATCACTCAGTGTTGCTAGAAAGTATTGACATTTTTATCCAGTAAATGCACATCGGTGTTCAATCTACACTCCATTGCCAGTTTATTAGGTACACCTAGCTAAACCTAAAGCTGTCTAATACATCAGTCCTTTTATATAGTTTATACTGTTTATACTAATTGTTTTAGCTTTAGCTAGGTGTAATCAATTAACTGAGTGTATTTGATCTGGTTTATTTATATATTTACCATCTTTGCCATTGATCTCTGCATATGATCTTATGCATATCAATAACACTTAAAGCTCTATGTGATAAGGTGGCACCATGCAGGATTCCTTAACAGAAGGTCAGAATTTGCACTCATTATGAAGGTGCCCAGTAAATGCAAAAAACCCAAAGCAGCAGGTCCTGCCACAGTCAAACGCATGCAGGATGGTAGCAGCATTGTTTCCATCAGTTCATGATTAACAAAAAATGTGTAATTTTCTGTGCAGTGCTCTTTGACGCTGCTGTACTATCCAGTACACCATAGGTCAAAACAGACAATCCAGCAGGATTCAGCTACAACACCGGTTAAAAAAAATATTTCATTGATAAGTCATCACAGAGAGCTTTAACTTTGCCCTGGTCAGTGTCTCCAGGGCTTTGTCACTGAAGCTAATTTAATCACAATGATAAAAGCATTCTCTACTGGAACAAAAAACACTTTTCTTCAGACAGCTGGAACAGATTCCTCAGTGGATGAAATATCATCCAAAAGAAAATACAAACTTCACATTACGAGGAGGCGGTCCAGCCATAGATAGCATCAGGAGACACCAAGCTTTAGAGCTTCACCAGCCCTGATATATGGGTGAGTTTTTACTGTCACTGAAAACCCAATTACCTTCAGAGAGGACACTGATGGCATCGGAGTGGTGCTGTCCGTTGCTCATCATGTTCTTCTTGGCTTCCTGGACATGACTCTGGTAGAGCAGAGTACTTCCCACCATGGGATTATGAGTTGGTGCGTTAGGCACTGAAGTAGAAACTGAGTCCCAGGCCAGCTCCCTCCTCGGCTGCCGCCGGAGGTCTACATCGAAGCCTGTCCAGCCGTGAAAGGCCAGGGTGTTGAGGAAAGCTTGCATGGGGTTCAGGATACCCTGAAAGAGTAAAAATACAGAATAATTTAAAGTGTTAGGCGTTGACAAAACATGTGTTCTTCATCCTGCATGTTGATGCTCTTTTAACTCACCATGATAAACCATGTGATCAGGGCTGCGTTTCTGATATTCCTGAAGCTGTCATCGTTTATGTCTGTCTGCATCTCCAGGTAGAAGAGGAGGACCTCATTGATGATGTTGGGAACCCAACTAATCAGAGGAAAAACAATCTCATTAGTTTTTAACTAAGTTTCTCCGAATAAGACTTTAAATTTAGACTTACTTTATCCACACACAAAAAAACCTTCAACTGCAAATTCAATCAAATGTATATGAAGCTGAAATCCAGCTCTAATTCTGTTCATATAGCCGCAGAAAACAATGGTTAATTAATTTGACCTCTATTGAGGACTAGCAAATATGAGTTTTATGAGTTACATTACTGTGGGAGTCACACCACAGCAAGGTGGCTCTGTTATAAAACAATCTGTAACATACACATTTGGTTTCACGTTACACTACGGAAAATAACATTTTTAAACCAATGGTTTTGCATGTTTTGGCCCAAATTACACATACGTTCCAGCACTGCTAATCATTTTAAAACCATATTGCTGTGTTTTACAAATTACTTGTAATGTACTTCTGCCATTCTAAGCATATATTGGTTTTCATTCATTTCTACTGTATATGACTATTTAGTTTAATCCATCATGGTGAACACCAAATCTGAACCATAATTATGGTTAAAGTTACATTATCTTTATGAGGCAAGTAAACTGGCCCTAATCTGCATTACCATCAACTATTTTGTAACAATGACAAAAATTAATTCAGACCTGATGCTTAGAGCAATGAATTACACAATTCAAGCAAGTGTCTGCCTATTGAATTCATACCATCTGGAATTGAATGGAAACTCTTGAAAATGGTCAGCAAAAATGTAAAGAATACATTATTTGTAGTTGAGAACACATTGATCCTTTAATGAAGAAACGCTACATTTTGGGAAATAAGCTTATTAAAAAAGTGGCTTTATGTGGGGTTTTGTGCCACATTATCTTCTTGGCACAGTTACTGACATCAATATCAATCTTGTCTTCTAACTCAATAAAGTGTGCTTCCCAAAATGTCAAACAATGCCTTTAAGTTTATCCCTTTGATAATGAATGGAAACATACCAAACAAAGAACACCAGCACTATTTTAAAGAAGCGTATTTTTATGTCATTGGCCAGCCGTCTCTCATTTTCTGTGTAGATTCCTTGTCGTGCTTTTAGTAAAGATGTCACTAGATTGGAAGGACAAGAGAGGTGGTTACTGTAGCCCACGTGCATGTGTTAAAAAAAACAAAAAAACATTTGACATACTGTACATTAAAGAGATTTGAGAGCATGGAACTGACCTGCAGATATGGTGCGATTAAAGAAGACTGGATTGGCTATGAGGACGAGCAGCATCGGTGCGTATGTGGTGACATAGTGAGGGATAGCGTGCTGGAGGCCTTGCTCACAACTGCACAAAAGGGCAACAAACAAGGACATCAGCATTTGGAAATCACATGTATGTATACAGTGCTAAACAGAATTGCTATCATCAACTGACAAAGTGGTACAGTACTGTATGGTCAAACAACAGGAACATTCACTGTCATCACACCAGATTCACAAACATTTTCCTTGAGATTTACACACTGACTAAATTGTTTTGGCATGGTTACATCTTAGTCAGGCTCTTGCAGGAGAAAAGACAGTGACACAAACAAGTGTATGGTCTTTGTTTGTCTCCTCACAAGACCTACAAAGGGCTGAATAACAAAGAGTCTTACTCAGAAATGGATGGGTAATAGAGCATGGCCACTCCTTCAACACATAGCAGCACAGCCAGACCCCATGTAATCATGTGGTAGAGGATAATGGTGCTGATGGGAAAAGAAACAAGTCATGAGACTGAGTTCACAGCACATGCACAGCACTGCTGTTCTGAACCTAGAGCGTTTTTTTTTTCTCTGCAGAAAAGAAATGTACTATACAGACTGGGAGGGAAACATGTTGTTAACTCACTAAAACACAAGAAGAGTATTAAAAAAAACATAAAGCAACCACTTTGCGCTTTCTTTCCAACAAAATTCAAATCAGATTCAGGGTGTTTGCAAATGGAGTAGTATAAGAAGAAGCATTGAATCTTTAGATGACAGTGAAGCAAAGTAAGAAGAAGATGTTTTACGCACTCTGCTTAATGTAAATGACACATTGACAGCTCAGTTTTAAGCTTTGCGCTTCATCCTGTATTTATAGTAGGAGATGTTGAGGTGATAATGAAGTGTGGTAGATGGAGGGTTAGTGTAAAAGCACCTGATCCCCGCAGATGTTTTCACCACCAAGAAGACGTCAACAGCGTAACAAAAAGTCCACCAAAAAGAGGCGCTGAAAAACAACTGGATCCACATCTGTAAGACATAAATTGGATACAATATCCTTACTATACAGGTTATAATTATAATGTTTCTGATAATAACAAGAGTGCCTTTTTTTAGGTTAAAGCTGGGGCAGGCCATTTATTTCAGAAGCATTTTTGTTATATTTGTTGGAATTCTTTTCACATCCCAAGAGCAATCAATAAATCAAATGCTCTAACAAAAAAGAAACATTTTGGAGGGAGGTCTGGAGAGCAGCTGGGGTTTTCTCAACTGGATACTTTAAAACTCAAGCTGTCTCTTGCTATCCAAACACTGACTACCCCAGCTTTAATCTGCAATCTGTGCCCGAACAGTTTCAAAAGGCACACTCTTAAACTGTAGATCTGTTATGATTGGCTGTACACATGCTTGTTGACCATGCACTAAAACAACTGACCACTTTTATCCATGGAATCAGGATTTTCCAGGATGATTTACAATCATAAAAATGATGATTTCCCCCCCAGTATAGTCACCTTCCTGTCATCTGCCCAACGCAATGCCGTACCTTAACAAAGTAGTATATTGTGGACATAGAGGCTTAACTGAACTGGGTTTTTTTGAGAGCATCATACTTACCGCACTGCCAACGCAGAAGACCTCTGGCCAGACATCAGTGCTGTTGGTCAATGAGATGCGGTCAATGACATTTGGCAGGCCCAACCACACAGATGACCTTACAATGATACCTGGAAGAGGAAAACAGGACATAGTCTCTAATTGTAACTGTTGAGCAAATTAAACAATTCCTGCTTTTGCCAGGAAGAGGAGAGGAACAAATACAAACACAAAGAAATAAACAGGGGATGTGAAATTGGTCTGGTTTTAATTAACATTTAAAACACATTAAAGTTTTATTTTTTTGATTCCGTATTATTAAGTACCCTAGCTACTTAATTAGATTTAGTCATGGAGTCCTTTTAATAGCAGCTTTATATCATGGAAATATGAGCTGCCTCCAGGTGTGTTTTATAAGGGTGTTTCCATTTCCTACATGAAACTCTTCAACTTCACACTGGAATGGAAACATGGGAGCTCTCCCAGGATCTTAATGTGCTGCAGACTACATGCTGTTGTGTATTTCATTTCAAATTGTGTCATGGGTGTGCTCCAAGCTGTTAGTTTGGAGTGGTGAATGAATCTCACTGGGCGTTAAGTACACAGAAATACATGGCTTCATCATGTCTTCCCTTTCACCAAGTGCAGAAGCAAAGTGATGAATGGACAGCTCAAGTGACTGAGGCAGTGCAACAAGAAGCTACAGCCTTTTGTGTGCTTTTAAATGTGTAACTGTTGGTTGCTTTAAGAGCAATGCAGCATTCAAATCAACAGGCCAACAGGGCAAAAAAAACTTTTGCAGTGGTTATGAGTCATGCCATTACTCACATGAGAGGGTCATAATTGATTCTTTTGTTTTGTAATAAGATGCTTCAGAACTTAAGATCTTAAATCTAGTTTGCAGACTTTATTTACAAAGTCTGAGCCGAGATCATCAAGTTTCCAATTGAAAAAGAGTGAGGGCATTTTTACTATCTGGTTCATAGACTCCAAATTTTGTAAATGCTTATAGCCTACTGGGAAAAAAAAGAAATTTTTCATAGCTGTACAAGAGTTGTCTAATGCGTTCTCTTTGTTTGAATAAGCCAGGCCACATGGTGCAACAAAAGAGTTAAAACAAAATATTTGCGTGCGTAATTAGATCCAGCCAGCAATGTCACGTTGTGGAAAAACTACTCGCCCTTTTTCTCACCTATGATTAAAGGGAGGCCTGTACCAGAAGTCTGTTTCTTTACCTGTGCATCCCAGTATGTCACATATACTGACGATGAACAATATCCGGGAGGAGGACGCGGGCCTTGGCAGCGGATACTGTCCGAGTCTCCTGTATCCCTTGCGTTTTGGCAGAATCTGTAAAATAGCGAAAATGAGGCTCACAACCGCGCTCCCCAGACTCAACGCCCCGAACAGGACGGGCTGGAAGGTGACCACGAACTCTGTCGTTGCGTCTCGGTTTGGGCAGCAGAACGTCTCCAGCCGCGGGGATGCCATGCCATGGACCGGGCAGAGATATAGAGAGAGAGAAAGAGAGAGGGAAAGAGAGAAAGAAGTGGGCTACGGTGTCAGGAGAAAGAAGAAAAAGGCAAGAAAGAGAGAGGAAACGATTGGGTACACGACCCAACTCGCTGAGAAATCACGGGGTTGAATCATCATGTGCTTCCATTTAATCCCTGCAGTTGTAGTTTAACTGTGCCACAATACAAGGAACCGACAAAGGACTGTTGTGTGGTTTAGGTCTTAAGTTCAGCAAGCTACTGTAGCCGTCACTCTGATTCGTTTATTAGTGTAGGCCTACAGCATGTGCCTGTGCAGTAGCCCATAGCTTATGAAAATACAGTAAAATGAAACTGTAACAGTACATTTTGATTTTCTATAGGTTTAGGTAATTTATTAAGGGCCTGAGGGGGAATTGTTTTGCAATGAACTGCATACAGTAAGTCAACAGAAGAATGTCAGATGGAAGACAATAACCTACCATTCAAAAATTATACATGAAATCAACATCTTTAATAGCCTATAGGCTACAGAACATACAACTCTGAGTGTAGACATGGCAGGCTTACACTCTATTTTATTATAGCAACACCATCATCCAATCAATAAATTAAACACTTAATATGTTGCTAAAAGTAAATCGGTTGTGCATCAGAAAACATAAACATTATATAAATGCAAAACGATGCGAAATAAAACTAACTAAAGCTGCAAACAGCGTTGGGTGGCCCTCGCATCCGACAGGTCTGGCCACAGTGCAGTTGCTGGAGGTCATCAGCATGGCCCTGAATTATCATGTGTTTTTGATGCCTCAGGAAGCAGTTTTCCTGTGTCTCCTATGTGACACTAGACAACATCCTCTAATTCTATGTTGTGTACCAGTACATCTACTTTGGACCACACTTTGAAAATTTCACTTAAATCAAGTGAGGATTATCAAACAGACTCTAGAACATTGACTAAATATTGGCTTGTAGATGTGTTCAGGGCAGGGACTCTTATCAAACATGTAAAGTTTCGTACAGATGTGAGTATGTACAATGAAGTTATAACTACTTCCTGTTTCACGGTAAATCATCGATTTCTGAGCCACGCCATGGACACACCCTTCCCACAGGTACCGCAACTTTTCATGGTCAGTTCCTTTAGAGTTCACAGCAAAAAATTTATTTCGATCACATCTGTAGGAGGAGTTTGTTAAAGTACGAAACGTGCCCATTAAATTTATAATGGCCTACTGTCCTGTTGGGTTTAGGGTATGGCTCCAAGAGGCTTTTTTTTTTGGTGTCCTGGGACGATACATGTGCCAAAAAACATATAGGCTAGAGATCAAATGTGAGGACTGCTTCGTTATCATGTTGCCAGTAGGTGGCGCTATGACTTTGAGTGATTATTGGCATATGGATGTATGTCCTCAGGGCGGGATCCTCACAGATAGCATAACCTTTTATCGTCAATGCCTTCAAAATTGCACAGCTAAAATTTGAAGTCGATCTGATTAATTCTCTTGGAGGACTTTGTAACAGAACCTGTAAATCGGCGAAAATGACCATTTAATCAAAAATGGCCGACTCTTGTTGGGTTTAGGGCATCGCTCCAGGAGCCATTTTGCCACGCGAACGTAAACATACACGTACATTTCCACAGGACTTGAACTTTGTGCAAAGTTTTGTGAGTTTTTGAGCATGTTTAGGCTGCCAAATGTGCTTAATTTGCAGAAGAAAGAAAGAAAGAAAAACAATTCTGGGGCCCTAAATAACAATTAAAGGATAAGCCAAGTTATCAGTTAAAATCATTAAAATATTTGGAAATTAGAATCTGAATGTTTTTTCCACACAGAGGGGAATGAAGGAGTTTTTATACCTGTTGGTTTTGGCTGCTGGGAGTCTAACCCTAGTCACACCGTAGGAGGAACAGTAAATTAGCTCAGACACACCATGATGCACATTTGATCTCTTAAAGCTGGACCAGAAGAGTCTTCCATTACTTAAGCCTATAATTATTGACACAGTTCAGTTTTTTAGCTGATGAATGGGGCTAGTTAAAGGCCACCCATCCACCCCATTAGCCTCACTGTGTGTGGTTGTAATCTGAATGTTGAGCCCTCTGGAGCTGATGGGGGCCAAACATCAGCAGTGGGAGACCCAGCAGATAACCATGGTGGACTCAAACACTTAACCATGTTGATTTAGATGTGGTGATTGGTGCTGGCGTGTGACCTCTATATCTACCACTTGTGCTATTTGTGGGTCATGTGTTTGTGATAACAGAATTAGACTGTATAGTTTTTTTATATGGATTACAGCATAAGTCCTGTTATGTATTGATAAATATATATATGAAGCATACGAATTTTTTTGTATAAGTAAAGAATAATTGATTTGCACATGAACACAAAATCTAATTTTGATTAAGAAAGATCACTCATGGCTGTCGAAACAGTAGAAGTAACAATGTCCTGTTTTCTCCATGTTAAGGCAGTAAAAATATGGTCAAATCTGCGTGACAAAGAGTTAAAGTTAATGCTTGGTGCATAATGGAAAGCCTATGGCTCAGTCCCATTAGATTCATGACATTTGGTGCGCTTAGCCTGCATGGTTAACTGAGTCTTGCGCCAACAGAGCATTTACTTGAAATACACCTCCCCAATATGTATGCAACAGACATTCGCCACATCCAGATACAGGAGAGGTCATGGCAGCTGCTGCTTGGACAGAGATCTGAGAAAACTGGTGGACATTTGAAACAGATTTATTTGGGAAACAAAGCATCAAGGGCTTTCATTATTCAGTACAACAGAGAGGGCATTCATTGAGTCTGTACAATGGCATTCTAATCCATATGCACCTTCTCTGACAAGGCAAAAAGTCAATTGTATGGCAAGCTTGTAGGCTGCTGCCAGGGATTAACAACTCCCTGAGGAATACAGTCAGTATTGACTTGCTATTTAAATGTCTGCTCTCTGTTGCTGCCCTCTGCTGGTCTGCATTCAATGTGATTGTAGCTCTCAAAACACCATATCCTTTATATCACTGCTACTGTACTTTTGGGAATAGTTAGGTGTGAAAAGATGTATTTACGACCATTACACATTATTGTATAGTATCTATAGTACACCACCATTAGCCTAAATCAGTAGTCAAAGAGGTGTATCTCATAAGACAGCTGTTCCCTCATCTCAAACTGGATTTATTTCTTTATCAAGATACAGATGTTGTGTGGGAATGCCATAGAACTCTGAGAATTATCCTTCAGTTTATTTCTTTCAGAAAAAGTCAGAAGTCAGGGCTAGCTTAGCGCCAGAACTGCTAGGGATTGAATGTTTTACTCAAGAACACTGAAGCAGAGCACATTCTTGTTCACAAGAATGGTGCTAAACACTGACTTTTGCCTTTAAGGAGGGTCTGTCTGATAATTAGGCCACCCATCCACGTGAAGTCTGAAAAATAAGGGGATTTCCTGTTTTTTAAAAAAGCAAGTCACGAGATAAAGATCACCTTTGACTATGTGGAATTGGGAATGCAGATATTCTAATGCTTTTTTCATAGTTATCTCAGCAAAATGTTGGTACAATCAACATTGGTTTATACTTAAATCACAAAAAAAGAAACACAGGATTTAAATTTGTCATTAAGGAGTGTTACTACAAGGATTAATTGAATAACATTTGATGATCTGTGATGGTAGTGACAAGACATAAAATCACTTAAAGATCCTCTCCAGACATGTTCTAAGATATATTTTGTTTTTGAAAAAGGTAAATAAAGTCATAACAAATTCTTCAAAGCAAATGTAATTGTTTTCCCTCCCTTCTAGCCTTCTAGTGTCAAACTCTGAACAAATATGCTGCACAATGAAGCTCAAACATCCAAGTAAAGTAACAATAAGCAAAACACATTTTTGAATGGTGGGTGTTACATTTCTGGAAATAAAAATGCGGCATCTCTACAACAGCAGCCAGGCCAATGTCCTTGCTGAGGCACATGATATAAGTTTGGAGCTGCCTTTATTTTTTAAACAATTTAATGTATAACAAATGCTTTTTATACTTTTTTTTTCTCATGAAAATCAAGCAAAGGACATACAGTGTATTAATGCAAATGGACTTCTAAGTTCTTAAACCAATAATTACAAAATGCCTTTATAGTGGACCAGAACTTTATACATAGAATGAGTCATTCACCTAAACTTTACTCATCCGCACCCATTCTCAGTGAACACTGCCTGTCTCCTGCTGGAGAGGATGGGTGTGAATGTACAGTGTCAAATTACACACACATCACAAACCTGCTCAACAGGCCCCTTTCACGGGCCCACTGCACCTTCATTGGCTGAGCCTCAACGGCCACACTCAACCAGCCTATTTCCTGCATGGCAAATACTAGGAAATGACATCACAGCAGCGAGACCTGCCACAAATGCGTTGAAAACAGATGAGGGCCAAACGCATTTCAGATGTCTCTTGACTCAAGTTGGACACAATTCAGCCTCTATTGCAAAAACCTTTGAGGCAAAAACAATCGGCCCATAAAACAACATTTTGGAACGCCACTGTGAAGGATGTCTGCTGGACACAAAGAGACTCCGAGAGACACTACATGTCAAAGTGGAGCTGTTGTTTTTTTCTCAAACCCTTTGATGAGTGGTGAGTAGTTGCTGCCAGTGTGTGCTCGCACTGCAGCTGGAGTATATTTACTACTTTACACAGAAAGTTTCACCATGTCATTATAACTAATACTTGGGGAGATGTGAGTGACTGTTGCTTTTCATGTCTGCACCTAGATGTTGAATCGGACTGGTCTCCAATTCATGATGCTGCCTTTAATGGACGTGTCCTCGCTCTGCAGAGACTCATTGCTCAGGTAAAGTTTAATGGGATTTTCTGGGATTTGTTACAGTGCATGAAGAGATCATTATAACATGCAATTTGGAACAGTTTTGCTGAAAATCATATGTTATTACATTTTAAAGTGATTAGGTCTCAAAAGAGACTCAGTGAATTGTGAATGTATATTTACTGTGTATTGTTCACAGGGTACATGTGTAAACCTGAGCACTCTGGACCAGGTTTCCCCCCTCCACGCAGCATGTATGCAAGGCAATGTGGCTTGCGCCGAGCTTCTGATAAAAAATGGGGCAAATGTCAGTAAGGCATCATGGTCTAGTTATGCTTTTGCTTTTGTGAATATTAATATATTCAAGACAATCCCAAATCAAGACAGTATGTTTAGTGCCTTTGCTTAAAAAAGCTAAATACTGCTCTAGTCTAGTTAGGAGACAACCATAGCCTATCAATTATTGCTGGGTTTAACTTTGTGCAGGTGCATATTGGTAAGAGATTAACCAAACACACATACAAACACGCATGCAGACACATCCATGCATGCACAATAACACATTACAACATACAAATCCGCAGATACAAAGTCTGACTTGTCAAACCACCACAATGTCCTGCATGTTAGACAGCAAAGCTGCACAGTGTGGTATTATTTATATACATTAAAGGTTCATAACATCACATTATTGCTCCTCATTTGTTACTTTAAATTATCATCGCTTTACTGACACTTACTCATACTCATAAGCTCACTGTAAAAAAACAGGTTTTTTTGTCCATTATTCTGGCTTTTAATTAAATTATTAAATTAATTTCTGGTGGGTTGTCTCAAAAATCTACGTACCCATGCCAGGTAAACAGTTCAACAGTGGATGGACAAACTCCCCTGTCAGAAGCTTGTGCTTTGGGCCATGTGACCTGCGTATCGCTGCTGCTTCAACATGGAGCGACTCCCCTGGGGACCAGCTACACCAGCTTTCCAATTCACAGGGCTGCCGCTAAAGGTTAGAGGTTACATTCCCACAGCATACGCACAGATAATCTATGCTGAATCAGTTTGGTCAAAATGCACAGAGTGTCAAAACATCAGAATAGATAAGGCAAATGTATTTTAAAAATTGTCTGCGTTGTTGTAGCTTAGAAAGTAAACCGACTGCATATTCTTGACAAGTGCAGATTTCAAAGCAAAGCCTTTCAAGTCCATCACTTCTCATTGTGATGATTCTGGTATCTCTGTCTAGGTCACTCAGAGTGCATTGAGCCTCTTGTTCAGTATGGTGCAGATGTGGATCAGTATGTCGACCAGTTGGGCACCCCTCTCCACGTTGCCTGCTCCAATCAGCATCTGAGTACTGTGAGGAAACTGCTTCAACTTGGTAAGAATGCCTTTCATGTAACCTTTCCAGTAAAGGTCTCATTTAAGCTGAGGAGAGGACTATCAACTGTAACAGTATGTTCTTAAGAGGTCTCAGAGGTGGATAGACATCTCTTGGGTCTAACTGACCTTAGTGACGTTAGAAATGTCTGTGTCTTATTGGCCAAAAAATGGAATTCACATTTCTTCATGCAGAGCCCACAAAACATATAAAACACAACATATTTTCTTATTTGGTGTAATAACACCAAATATTAATTTCTGTATTTTGACACCTTCATCAAAGCCCTGTTTGTGGCTAATATGTTTCTACATATTGGGTTTTAATAGGATCAGAAAAAAGTTTAAAAGTATTTAAAGTAAAGAAATTGGATAATTTTGTAATATTATTATCTTTATATTTGCACATACAACAGTGGTGTCTGTGAAAAACCCAAACAATAATAAAGTAAAGCCAATGTTGAGCAGAAATTTTATTTTGAGATATCTGATAGTGGTGTAAAAAGTAAAAATGTACCTCTATATTACATTACATTACAGAAAATTTGAAAGTAAAGCAGCACTTCACAATAATGCTTAAACAGTACTTGTGTAAATGTACTTAGTTACTATCCATCCCTGGCTGTTTCATATGGTCTGTGTAAAACTCATGCTGTGTCTTACTTAAAGTGAAATAAATGTTTTGGGCTCACTGATTCGAATATGCATGACCTGAGTAAATGCAATGTAACTAGGAAATGGCCCAGTATACTTTATGTAAGCAATATGAGGAAACATGGTGCTCTGAGCTCTGCTGTAGAAGAAGGCAGGCTTTACCTGTCAGAGATTCTCCTCACCAGTTACATAACATAAAGACATCATACCTCATTAGTCTCTGCTCACCTTCAGGTGCTAGTGTGAACAGCAGTGTGTCTGGTGGTGACAGCGTGTGTGGTGACTCGCTGCTGCACATCGCTGCCCGTCTGTCCAACCCCGAGTTGGTGTCTGTCCTGCTTGACCATGGGGCTGATCACACCCTCAGGAACTCAGAGGGCAAACGGCCACTGGACCTCACGACTCCCAACAGCCTGGTGGAGAGGCTGTTGAGACAAGCAGGAGGTATTCAATCCAAACTGACCAAGTAGCCTCAACTGTGTGGATTCTCATGGCCTTTACATTAGGTTGGTGCCACAAGATAATAATCAAAACATCTCTCTGTCATGGCTTCCACCCTGATGCCTGCCCAGGAGTGTCTCCTCTAATGCAACTATGCCGGCTGCACATCAGGAAAACTGTGGGCAAGCAGAGACTGGGCAGGATACACGGCCTTCACCTCCCCACAGAAGTGAAACAGTACCTTCTCTACCAGTCAGACCCAGCAGATTACTTGGCCTTTCAATGTCAGATTTCTGAGCATTTCACGTACAGATCAGTAGGGGGTGCACTTGCATAATATTGCAGTGAGAAGACTCCACCATGGAGAACTATAATTCTCCTTTGTTACAGACCTCTGTAAACAATCAATCTTGACTTTTACAGAGAAGAGTTTTTCACATTAAATGTTAACAATAAGATATACATATTTAAAATGGGAAGAAGGGCTCATTTGATCTAATAATTGTTGCAAAATGTATGTTAAATAAAGTTGAACACACTGAAACAATCTTTCTTATATTACGCTCTACATTCAGCTTATATTGTACTTTTTTTATATGTAAAAACTAAATAATAAATAAAAATAATGAATGTTTCTGTTTTTGATGCTGCTGCATTCAGATTGTTTCCTTAATCTACAGTAGATTAAATTTACTCTCATATGAAATCTTCATGTTCGGTACATGTCGTTCCGGCAGAATTCCTGGAAATGGTTTAGCATCTTGCAGGGCACGTACTATAAGTTTTCCAAGAGCAAAAAAAAAAAAAAAACAAACAGAAAAAAACATGTTAATAGATTAACTGACAACAAAGCTAAGTCTTCTCCAGTTCAGTCATTTCCAAAGTGTCTCTGATTGGGAAAACATTATCGAAGCTGAACACATCACTATTACCATGGTGTGGCCCACTGCACAAATGTATTTCTTTATACCGTAACTATCATGACTAAATAATACAAATGGGGCTCCCTCAGGCTGGATGGGAAAGATATCAGCGGACGTTTTTGTGTTTCATCTGTCATATGTAGCTGGATGGCTGCTATGTTTTCCATTTATTTCATGCATAGCCATACTCATAACCAGTATAGTTTTGAGTCAGCATCCAATGCACCAAACCACCAGAGGTTTGAGCTGCTAAAACCCTTTTCTTTCTTTCCTGTACTTTCTTTTATTTTCCAATGTGTTGCTTTTGATCGTAATGAAGCTTTGGTTAAATCAAATTATTAACATTCAGTTCATACAAACAGTGTGTAATGTTTAGCTATTTAAGACACACTGTATAATTTGTCTACAGTTTATGTTCAAAAAGAGACAACAAATATATATAAACATCTCTGCATAGTGACTGTAAAAAGTAAGAATCCAATGTTACGGGTTTGTGGTCACACACACGATGTGTTGAAATATCATGCAGATTATTTTGTACACAGCAGAAGGATCATGCAAAACAAACAAACAAAAAACATTAAGTGAACCCCCGAATGCATACAGAAAAAAGAAGACAAAACACATCAACAAAAAAGTGACAGTGAAGTATTCATTGTATGAATGAATATGTTACAACCCAGTTGCACTCTGCCTGTTTTCCATAAACGCTAAGTTCAGTTGAGAAAAGCCACAGGGATGCAGTCCTGCATCAACATGGGAAATGCTCTTCCCTGTGCCCATCTGAGAAATGGAGCTTCTCAGGCTTTTATTAGTTTCTAATTTTCTTGTGGTGCCTGATTACTTATTATAATAACCTGAGGAGGAGAGAGGGCACTGCAGAAAGATGAAGCCTATACATATATATTGTATATCTTTATACAAATGTTCTAATACCATTAATTCAGAAGATAGAAACCAGAGAATACAATGTTTTATTTAGGTCACCACTTCTCTCCATTGTCCAAATCTAGTATTTACGATGTAGCTGGCTTATTTCATGTTAATCATTTGTTTATCCACTGCCTGAAGGAACACGCATTGCAAAATAGATCCATATTTTCCTCTTGATTCCCTCAATAGTTTTGTCCACACAAGTCGCATAAATTTTGAGTGTGTGAGCAAGGTCATTGGCACCCAAAACTCAAGGGATCACTGAACTCTAACCTGTGCGTTTGTCTGTGCATACAGCCAATCAGTGGGGCTGACAGACCTCACAAGGAAATAAGGCAGAAAACAGGTTTAGGATAGAAAATAGTGAAGAGAGAAAATAAATCTTTTCCAATATAGTATTCTCTGACCGGTTATATTTGTGTTCCTACACAGTTATGGGAGCCGACTACTGTGTATCACCACTGTATTATAAGCATTTATTTCAATAGGTCATTTATGTGGTAGCTACCACTGTTCACTGTGAACAGCAACATCCGCTACATTGGTGACAAAAGCTACAGCTGCTCAACTCACTCATTCCCTTCTTGTTACACGCAGCACTCATTAACTCTCCATCAATTCTGCCCCATCCCAATTTTGCCACATGACCTAAATCACCCTCCCCTCAGCCGCCGCATGAGTGCCCAGGGCTAGCCACACATTGAACCTGGTTTCTATTTAACTGGTGTTTAATGTTAAATCAATACTGTGGAGGAGCTTCTGACATACAGTATCCACTGTCTGTAATTAGTGACATATAGATAGTCAGGTGAGATGGCTCTGTCCGGTAATCGGCGTCAAATGGCTGCTCAAATAACTAACTACAACCATGGGGGCATCACTGATGGTGGTGTTCTGTTTTGCTCTGTGCAGTGCAGTGCAGTGCAGTGTGTCTGAACGATTTCCGAGGTTGAGTCAGGTACTGTGTGGCACTCAGATGCACTTAAATTCAACCCACCTATATGTGATACCAAGGCTTTTACTTTTATTCTCCAGAGGCAAGCACACCATTAACCCCCATCCTTTTTTTTAGTGCATAGGCACTTACTACCTAAATAGTGCAAAATGCATTTCTTACTGAGGGTTTGAGTGAAACGTGTAATGCAAGTTTTACGTCCAGCACACACACTCTCCTAAAACTATCCAATTCCTTCTACAAACTGCTATTAATGGAGAGGCTTTATAAGAGGAAGAGGGAACCATATGAAAGGGTTACCACTAAAATAGAATGAGTTACAGAGCAAGCAACACAATGCAATCTTTAGGGAATAAACATTTTGCGGCGCCCAAAACAGCCCAGTGTTTATAATCAACGTAGGATTAGTTTACTCGTTATTGCATGAGTCACTGTAATCATTCTTCGCATGCAAGCAGCCACCACCTACTGCGAACAAGCTGCAAATGTTGATGGCAGACAACCCTTACATACACACATCTAATAACCCAGTTGTGATCATTCCTTGCGCGACGGCTCCCGTCCTGATTGCTCAGAGCTGGATCTTGTTATAGATATCAGTGCTTCATACTAAACTACAAGTGGGTTGCGCCATGTCGCCAGTAATTGCTTTGGTATTTTTAGTTTGCCAGTGTCCGGGTAATTAAAACAAATAGAGGAGATAGTGGAGACAGATCTCTTGTGGCTTCTTGGTCTGAGTTTGGAGAGGTTTAGTAAGGTCATAGACTGCAATGTTTTCAATTAGACACCTCTGTTCTAATGAGGGTTTATTAAAGAGTGTGAATACTTATGCAAAACAGGAGATACTGAGTGACTGAAATGGCTACATCTCTGGAACGGTGGCCGTGTAGATGCACAAGTTTACTCTTTTATTTTTCTTTGCCCGACTATACGAGGAGGAAAGCATTATAATGTTCAACAAGATGGGATAAGTTGAGAAAAAGTGTTTATTTTATATTCTTTTACAATATAAAAATGTTTTATTATGATCACAAAAATAACAAAGTTTCCCTACATATTGTGACTTTTGCAATAAATACACATTCATTTTTTCCATTATCAGTCTTAAAAAATACATTAATGATTTGATGTCACATTATTTAAAAATGTCTCTGTTGCGTTAACTCTCAAGTGCCTGAAAAGAGACGAGTACAGTCTCTTAACTCACATGTCCCTAAAGTCAGCCCTCCTCCCCCTACGTGGCAGCAGCCTGTGAGGAGGGTAGGGGAGGGGTGGGCACGACCATCTCTCAGGTAGTCAGCTGTGGTCCCTGTTGAACCGTCTGTGGTTGACAGATGCAGGCGGAGGGGGCTGTGGCTGGCAAGGATGGCTGCTGGGAAGTATCCAGCCAGAAGAGAGACAGCAAATTCAGCACCACGAGGAGCAGCACCAACACAATGAGAACCTTCTGCACCCACAGACACGTGTTCAGCTTCTGCTCCAACCGAGAGTTGCAGGCCATCATTCGCATAAGCTGGTGAGATAAAAGCTAGTTCACTAACCTGGTTTATCAATCTAACACAGTTATAATGAAAGTCATGGAAACAAATTAGGCTAGTAGTGTAGTTTGAAATGTTGGGAAATAGGCTTATTCAGTTTCTTACCAAGAGTTACATGAGAAGGTTGATACCACTTGCCTGTCTGTACAGTAAGTATGGAGCTGAAGCAGGGAGATAATTAGCTTAGCTTTACATAAAGACTGGAAGCAATGTGGAAACTAGCCTGGCTTTCTCCAAACTTTAAAAATATGTCTACCAGTACCTCGGGAAAAAAAAGTATGCTAGCTAGGCTGACTGCCTCCCTGTTCCCGCTATATGGTTAACACACAGACTTGAGTGTGGTATCGATCTTCTCATGTAACTCTCTGAAAGAAAGCAAATAAGCATATTTCCCCAAATTATTATTACTATTCCATTGAGAATGTAATAAACCTTGTAGTTGTACTTAAGAGTTATACACTCAACCTACATATTATACTTAATGAAATTTAAGTGTGAAATTTAAGTTAGTGCCTTGGTGTATGTTTTGTAGTATGCAATAAAAAAAAATAAAAAAAACATGTTAACTGCATAATCGTCGGTGCGTTTCACCTTCCAGGGTCCTTGACCTCTTAAGAGATTGTTAAGTGGTCAATTCATACAGGAATATTGAATGTGTTTTAAAACAGTAATGACAAGTCTGCAAAATCTAGAATGGGGGTCAAAAGTAAAGTACCTCAATGAACAAACATACAATAAGTAAAAAAAAAAAAAAAAAAGTTTTGTAGAGGAGCAAGGCACCCACTAAAACTCACCGCTGTGCCTAATTCCTGCTGCCCGCTGGTCCCCGTCTCCACAGGACTATCCTTGGGAGGACTCACTGTTGGTTTAACGCTCTCCAAAACATGACAACGCAACCTGAGGGGAAAAAGGAGGCCATCAGGGTGACATGGAGCTACTGTCACAAAGAGAACTGTGTGGCAAGAGGCCATAACCAAGAAAGTACAAATGATTTCACATATTTATGGACATGTCTAAATAAGGAGCACAGGTGCGTACCTGTGTTCCATGATCTTGGTTTTCGGGACTTCTTTCCAGAACTGTGCAAGTTCTTGCGATCCAACGTTGTCCATCTCGGCAGCCATGACTAAAAATCTGTCCTGTGGAGAGGCTTGAGAACCTGCACAAAAACATTCAGGGCAACATTAAATCAATTCATGCAAGCCAGTGCAATTAGGACAAAAATGTTGTTGCCGTTTGTGCGTCTAAAATCCATGATGGATATTCATATTTCTGTAAGAATATACTGCTTTGAATCCCATTACATAAGAGAAATGGCTTGATTCAAACTGAAGCATAAAAACTGAAATAGGTAGCGCTGAGTTATATGCAGCACATCATAACCTACGGCTGAGATGTCAATGCATGAAGGCCACAAAATGTTTTCACTGGCACAGCACTGTCAGTTGTCTGATAGTTTGTTTTAGGGAGAAGATTCTTTTTTATCACTCTTGAAATATGTATGTCAGGCAAAGAAAAGTGGCTGCCGGCACTTTGGGAAGGTAATAGACTGGACCGTTAGATTATTCTGAGGTTCAGTATTTAGAAACATCAGCTGTGAGTGGAGTGGAGAGCAGAGCTAAAGTGCAGTACCTCCATGTAAGGACACCACTATATCTACTGAAGCTCCTGGCTCACAGCAGCTGCTACTGGGCTTCACTCTGTACTTCTCAGGCGCTGTGGTCCGTACCTGCGGAGACACCAGAGGCACCTATACTGAACAACATTTCTTTTTAACAATGAATTAAATTGTCATTCTATGTCAGAACGTCATGTGATTAGAAAATAGGGGAAAATGTCACAATGTCCCACTGCTCTTGTTCGCATCTTGAAAATGTTTTTTCTGACTAAAACTAAAAAAAGAAATTCAATTTAAAGTAATATATAATAGAAAAGCAGCATATCCTCACATTTGAAAAGCTGGAACCAGTGAATGTTTAGAAATTTTACTTAACAAATGACTTCAACTACTATCACTTGTAAGATTGTATTAATCAAGCTTATCTAATCATCTCAGCAGTTACTCTGTCAGCTCATGCTGTGTTCACAAACCTAAGCACAAGCATGTCTTCACACTCACCTTATAGGCCACTTGATTTTTGGTCACATTGCTCAGGATAATGAGGCTTTTTTTCTCTGTCTCTCCAGAACCAAAGCTGAGCTCCTCTGAAGGGCTGGAGTGAGAGAAAAAAACACACACTGTGAGACAGAAGCTACAATTGAAAGCTGTCTGGGTTCAATCCACAGGCTGTGGACTTTAAAATTACAGACGTTTTGCACTATATAGTGTCTATTTGTGCACTTCAGTACAGATTCAACCACTGGATGCAGACAGGAGTTACCATTTGAGTGTGTTTTGTTGTTTTGTTTCTTATGTCTCTTATTAATACAATTCTTGTACCCTGCTGTCTGTGTGGTATGATTATCCTGAGACTTTTTCCTGCTACACATCACCTTAACTATCTGCTTCAGTGACCCTGTTCTGAAGGATGATATACTAACAATATTTTGCAGCTAGAAAATTTAAAATAAATCAGAAGCACACTTTAAAATATAGGATTTCTGTCAAGCATGTTTACATCTACATGTGGTCAAAATCAATAAAACACCTCAAATGGATGAATTACTCTAAGCAGTTCTCTGGGACAAAATTAAATTGCAGACTCCTGTTGACCTCTGTTTGTGGTCAATTTATTTTTAATTTCATTTAGAAGAATTCACCATAAATGTTTTGACAAAATCCCCGTGTACAACACATGCACACAATGCTGTTAATACTGCAAGTTTTGCCTTAACAGCCCCATACTTGCAGTTGATAATGTGCTGCATATTCCCAAAACACATTTGCAATGTCTCATTTTAACACAAACCAATTAGAAACAATTCAAACAGATGATCAACCTAATTGCCAAGTTGATAATCCAGCCCTGCCATTTTAATCCCATATAAGTATTTTTATCAAATTCAGCAAATATCGCCTCGCTCTCCGCGAGCTGTGCATTCTGTGTGTGCGCTGAAAAAAATCTGGCTCTGTAAATGGGAAAACAAAGTGGCTCGGACCGAGCCACATAACACGAGTCCAGCTGTTCCAGCCATGATTAGTGTGTCCAAAACAGTAGGTCAGACAGACTTCTCAACTGACTGATGCAGCTGCCTTGATAATGACGTAGTGACGCAGGAAAGAGAGCCTGGGTAGGAGCCATGCTGGCCCAACTTGGACGCAAGACTGCTCTCCAAAGGGGAAAAAAGGGAACTCAGCATGGCCAAGCAACAGAAATCAGAGACTGTTGTGTCCACATCATTACAGAGACCTGCTTATAAACATCCTGGATGAAGCACTTGCCGGACAGACTGTGTTACGATGAGTCTTGGTGCTCAAACACAGTCAAAATAGATGTCACTGCATTTTATTATCTATTAAGTTCTGTGTGCGTAGCATTACAGGACTACAAACTTTCTTTTCATGATACAACCTTGTGTTGTATAATGATAAATTAACTACTTTGAACTTGAATCGAGAAAGTGTTGCATGTGGCTTCAATGACAAACAACATGTCTTGATTTGAACCACTTTCCAATAGAATGTTCACACATGCATAAAGGGTTGGATAATAATTCGGACACTTCGTGAATTGCTTTAGGTGTAGTAAGGATAAATATCCCCAGACAGGATTTGTCTTTCAGATTTTGTGTTGTCATTGCATGTGTTCACACAATGGATGCAGGCTCTGTGTCTCCTCGGCGGAGCTCAATAGTTACATTACTTGCTGTGTTGTTGTTCACTCTATATCATGGTATTTGTCATAGTATTGGATTTCTCCAGAATCGCTTACCACTCCTTTCCATTCTCCATTCTGTGGTCTGCAGATTTCAAGAACGATTCTTCCAAGATTCTTCCACAACTCTTGACTATATTTCTTTAAACCTTTCTCAAATCCTCGTCTTATTATTGAACCTTATTGCTCTCTCTCTGGTTTTTAGTTGGCTTAAAAAGACGCATCTGGGTGCTCTTGCAGTCAATAGGAGGAATTAAACGGTATTATCATAATCAGGTTTAAAGTCCAACTGAAATGTAGTCATGTAGTCAAAAGGCCTTTGGGGAAATCTCAGAAACACTCCTTTTCTAATAGACTGTAGGGGCTGTGTTTGATTGACAGCAATTGGCAGGCTGAGCCCCAGCATGGGAACGAGGGAAAGTGTAAACAAAATTGTGCTGTAACTTACAAGCAATGGGCAGACAGTGTGTTGTTAGCAGTGGTATTTAAGAGTAAGGACCACACCAGCATCTAAATTGACCAAAGTGACATTTGCAGGTACATTTACATGCTGCTTAATGTGCTGCAGCTGATCAGCTAATTAGCTATCTGGCCTGCAAACTGACATTAGCGGTGCTCTTTTCCCAGGTGAATGATTGTTTGGTGGCTCGTTCAAGTTGGTGTAGGACAAGACTTGTTCATGTTTGTAAGCTAGATAAGGAGACTTGTTGTTCAAAGTCTGTCTCTTTTGTGTTGAGAAGCAGGATGTTGTCTGGCTTTTAGTAAGTGCGACCATCTGCCCACGATAGAATGCAATTGTTACTGCTTTATGCAAATGTGGTTTCAAAAAAAGCAACGCATGGAAACAAGTTGTCCATCTATGTAGACGAATGAACAAATGAATGCAAAAACAAAACCAAAAAAATGGAAATGGGGGAAACCATCATGAATGGCAGTTCTGCCTTCTGGTTTCTGATTGAGTGAAAAGAGAACATGGGACATGTAATATACAGAGCTGATATGTATGCGGTAGCAGAAACACAATTGTTTAAAATTTCAAATTTAATTTCAGTTGGACTTCAAGCAGGGTAGAGGTCTGATCCTCCATCAGAGCTGTGAAATCTAAACCCAAAGCAAATCAGTGGCCTAAAATCTAGGGATAAGGCACTTTGCGTTGTTCTCAGTTCCTCGTTGGTGGTGTGCACTTGGATGCTTCTTCTAACCAAGTTTGCAAAAGTCTATCTTGGCTATAAATAGTATGTGATTTGATTAATTCAGCCTCAGTGAACAGCAGTGTCTTGCATTAGGGACTTCAACTTTGCAGAAAAGATACTAGCAAATGGATTATAATATAGGCCTCATATGTATAAAGCTTCTCATTGATGCAGCTTGGCTATGTTTCATGGACTAAAACTGCTAAGAACAAAGCTTTATTCCCCCCCACCAGTAAAACATCTGTAGAGTCTGGCGCTCGCTTGAGCTCAGAGTGAGTCTTCGGGCTCTGGAAACCTTTGGCAAACATAAGATCAAAGCCCCCTACTCCCCTCTAAAGCCCACAGCCTCGAATTAAGGCTAACACAGCTCAGAAACATAATTGCATTTAAGGCTCATTTAAATCTGTTTATCACTATAATTCACAGCCCAGAGCTGTCAAAATCCTCACATCAAAGCTGTTACTCTGTAAAAACAGAAGTCAACGGGCATTATTCATGAAAATGAGGAGCAGTATCGCACTGTGTGTGAATGCACCACTAAGTATTTACCCAAGAACCCACCAGATCACTGTGTGATTGCTGTACTCCTTTGCAATACACCGGTTTTGAAGTCGACAACCTCCTTGCGATTCAATGAATGCTCAATAAAAACATGATGTGTTTGGTGACAAGTGCTCCGTTCTCAAAAGATCCATTGATCTTTGGCCAGTGTCTCTCACTGAACAATTGATTGGTAGCTTCCTTAATTCCTGCCCATGTGTGACCAGATCAATAGGGCTGTAAAGCTACGAACACATCAATAATGACTTTAGGCTTTGAGCCAATATGTGAAGAGAACATTTTTGTCAATATGTACAAGGCAATTAAAATGTGTCTTTTTGCATATGGCCGACATAGACATTCACTCAGTTGCCAGGTTATTATTAGGTACACCTAGCCAAAAATAATGCAGTCTTATTACAACAGTCCTGCAATTAATCTTACCTTCATGAAGGCTGTAATGTTCAGTTTTTGTTGTTTTACTTAGGTGTACATGATAATCTAGGGAGAGTCAGCCACGGTACAGGTGCAACCCCTGAACATGCTTTGGGAGGTTTTGCTCAAAAGAGAATTCATATTTTTAGGAAGGGGGAATTGACTAGTTGAAAAACAGCAATCGTTTTAGGACCAGTCAACCTCTCTGGCTCCCTCATGTCTGCCAATCACACTTCTAACTGAAGTGCAAAGAAGCTGGATTGTGCACACATATAACCCCAGTTGGGTAGAGGTGCACGACAACAAGACTGGATGCTTGTACACCTAAACTGTTTGTTTTGGTTAGAATGAACACTACTACATTACATGACATTTTGAATTGAACTCTAGTGCGGAACAAAACAACCGGAGTGAGACCTCTTGAAAAGAAGGATCTCAGACCTACTCCGTGTACCTTGGCAGTTGATAAAGTCCACTAAAGTGTGTGGCAGAGTGATCCCACAGCAATACCCCCGCATAATAATGCTATACAAATCTTTTTCATCCCGTCTCTACCAGTTTGTCATTACTCACACAGAGTCTTGTTTTCAATCAAATTAGGAACATGGTGTTTACATGGAAGGTGAAAAACCTAATTATTCATATCCCTGTATATGTGATCATAACAGAATCCAGGTTTACAATAGTCTGCCTGCTAATGTGTCTCGATTTCTCACCAACTCAGCCACTATGTTCTGTACCAACAAAGAATGTTCAGAAACCAGGATAAGGTGTTTACATGCCATACTCTCCTGGTTTCTATCGGAGTACTTCAGGGAGCATATCCAGGTTTCTCAACACCGGGATAAGGGCTTATTCAGGTTTCTGAAACCAACATGCCCAACAGATAACCAGGCCACTCCAAAAAAAAAAAAAAACAATCAAGCATGCTGACATTTGATAATTAGTGCTAAACAAAAAAAAAAAAAAATACAGCTGAGGCTGACGGGAGTAGTTCTGCTGGTATTTATTCATAAACTGATATATTGGATATTTGGAATTTAGACCTGATGATGGTGCAATTCATCCTGAAGAGAAGGGTGTCTGTACCAGATTTCATGGTAATTTCATCTGACAATTTTTCTCAAAACCTAAAAATGTGAACCTCATGGTGGCAACAGAGGAAAAGTGAGGGGTTCACCAAAGTCATTCGGCAATATCCTCTGGAAGTACAGGCATATAGGGATATAGACAGCAAGATGGTTAAGCGTGAGAGCAGGATGACCTACCTAACATCAAGCAGAGGGCCTTTGAAGGTGGTCAGTGGCTTTCTTGCTCCTTTGGTCTTGCCGCTTGCGTCTCCTTTATCATTGTCCTCTGCCCTCAAACTGTCTTCCAGGAAATTCACCTGAAACAACAAAGAGCACCTAATTAGAAAAGAGACTCAGAATACTGATAATGTGACCTTTATCCGGTCCCTTCCCTGGAAATGAATAGTTTGACCCTTGCACTTCATGCAGAGAAAGCTATCAGTTAATGAAGCACTTCACAGTCATCTGTAATTATTAATAAATGGTTCTTGTGAAATAACGGTGAAGTGTTATGTTATCAAAATAGAATCTTCCGGAAAAACAGATTTTCTCTTTTACTGAGAAACCCCCATGATGAGTACTGACCCTTGTTCCCAGTAGTCTCCAGAGGGAGCAACAAGCAACAAACCACATGTCCGTATGACAATGCAGAACTAAAACAACCCACAAACTCTTATGACAAAACAAAAAACCTTGAACGAAAATAGTTCAACCAGACCAGAAGTCATATTATCTCTTTCACTTCAGCACAACAGCCACAAACTACAACCCAATTCATCTGACACAAGACCATACAACAGCTGACCGGATAGAGATTGTGAAACGTTTGCATAAGCGGTCGACAATATAGATGGAAGAACGTAGGAGAGTTGTGGATATGGATGCTTTCACAGTGTTGCTGGCACCACATATTGTGTTAAACAGATGGAAGAGTGGGCATGTGATGGGAGGAGGGAAGGGGCAAAGGTGAGCGGACTCTGCATGTGTTGGGAACATTTGTGACTCAGAGGGGAGGTGTGTCATTTGCTGCGATAAGAAACAAAACATGTCATCTTAATTTAATGGCTGACTGTCATGAATCTGCCACAATGAAGACATCAAGAGATAATCAGCTGCTGATGAAATGTCTCCATTTATTCGTCATTTTAAAGATCAAGCTTAACACAATTAGGTAATACTGTGACTAGAAAAAAGTAAAAATGCTAAAATTTTAATTCAAAATGAAACTTTGAAATTAGCAGGTTGTGTTGTACAGTGTTTTGTTGATATGCTTTTGCCATAACACTTACAAATACATAATTCCATTATAGATTAGCAAATAATGCATTACATTTATATAGCGCTTTATCAAAGAAACTCAAAGCACTTAACTTGCCACTTTCTTCTTCTTCTTATTATTATTATAGAATATGCATTTGCCATATCCGTAACACTTAATACAAATTTCGTTGTAGATTAGCAAACAAAATAAATGGCAATTTTGAGAAACAAATTAATAAAAAATAAACAACTATACTTTAACTATATAATAATAATCATCATGTAAAAAGAAATCAAATAGACCACAATAAAATACATTTAAAATTAAGAGAACTTCATGATTTCTACACATTGTGTGTAACATTTGAAATGCAAAGACAAAGAAATCATCTTAAACTGAAAAGTTGGTGCAATGCTCATAATGGGGAGTGTCTATTGATAATACAGTACATATTAAAAAAGGTACAAAACAAAAATGATGATTAGCACTCTTCAGAATCATAGACCTGGTAAAGGATAATATTAGAGTACAAGGCACAGAGGGCTTTTGTTAAAAAGTTACTTCAAAAGGCATTTAGTGCTGAGAGTTAATAACTTGGTCTACTGTAATATAACAGTAATCGAGTTAGTAGTGTTTAATTGAAGGTTAGAAAATAAAAATCATGTGAAATTGTTATTGGGCATTAGTGACTGTGCTACTTTTTCGCGTTGAGCTGATAATACTGGGAAATATGAGTGTCTTGCTTGGTTCAGTGTTGTACATTATATTGTGCAAAAAGTAGGCTAGCCTTCATTTAGCCTACATTCCCTGATAACAAAGTCAGAAATGGTGCGGTTTTTGAAGCAGTGCAATACAATTTAGTGGGTCCAATTGAAATGTGAGGTCCAGAACAGGTCAAGGTTTGAACATGGGGGTGCTGACGTCACTCGACTGTGACTGTCAGGGAGGTGCACTCACAATAATTCAGTCACGTGAGTACACCTGCCTTTCCAGCCTGAAGAAATCTTCGGGACTCTGAGCTCCTTGTGTGGGTGTGATCCTACACTGCCTTACCACCTCCAGCCCTTGTTTCAAAACAGAGAGAAAGGCAATTAGCTTCCTGAAGCTATCAAGTTATCAGCACAGTGCTGCCTGGAGCCCAGAAGAATTCAGGTCGGGATGGGTGGTGGTTGTGGAGAGGGAGGGGGCGTCTTCTGTTTATTTAGACAAGAGGGATCAGAAGCAGGGAGCTGAGCACGAGTCCTGTGGAATGCATTGAGCCCTTTTCATATACAGTCTATAGTTGAGCTGTATTTATGAACACAACAGGCTGGTTTATGAACACAGTGCCACGGGTTTAGTCACAGCACAGGCTACCAGAAAGTCTAATTGATAATGCCTGATTAACTACTTCACTCTGCGCAAGCAGAAGTGCCGGAGATTTGAAAACATATAGAGATCATTGACACTGCTGATTACAAATTGTCCTCAAGCTCTCTTACCACCGCTCTCCTTTTTATCTTGTTTCAAGTACTTAGCCTTTCTTTACACTGTGTTTGTTTTAGATACTCTTGATTCCTTTTTGGTAAACAACAGCATTATAACTTACATACAAAACTATGGGTTTGTAAATTACAATGCAGGGGGGTCTTATCTGCTACAGAACATCAAAGCCTTGAATGAATGAGCTTATTAGGGTGATGTTCATAAAGTTTCTGGACATCAATTAGTATGTAACCTTTAGACAGCCAGAAGTCACATGAATTAACCTTAATTGCTATACAATTCACCTTTCACAGTTGAACTGCTGTTCTCTCACCCTGAATCTTCCTCAACAATCTTGTGAGACCATTTGATTGTCATCAGGCATATGCGCACACACTCGCTGTCTACGCTGACGCTGTGGTTGTGTAACTAGTTTCTCAAGCTAACCTGAAAAATAGCTTCCTCGTTCCCACAGAGCTGACTCAAATGTTTCTATATCTAGTCTGCTGACACCTCACAGGACTCAGCAGTGCTTGTTAAAATACAGTTTAGTATCTGGAGATGAAATTAAGTCAATAATGCTCTAATGGGGAGCTCTGCACTTTTTCTCTGGGGTTATGCAGAAAGCCTACAGTAAGGAACATTAACAAACTCCAAACGTGTGCCTTTAGATTATTGTTGAGGATAACAATTGCACTCATTTTCACATCTCTGCTTTGTACATCTAAATCTGTTGTGCATGACCAATGCGGTATTTTTTAACAATGAGCACTGTTTGTTTGTCAGGGCTTAGGAGGCTTGTGGAAGTGGCTTTGTGTGATGCAGCACCGCTAGGTCTCTCCAGCAGATATAGTCTGTATAGGCAGCAGGCTACAAAAAACCTCAATAGCTGCTATAAAGTACAGCATAGTTAGTCCTCACATCAAATGTAGGTTAACTCCAAATCCATTGCTCCCTGATTGTGACAGCAAAAAAAAAAAAATCTTTAAATAACAACTGCAACACTCAATGATAACGAAGCAAAAATAAAACATAAATCATAGTTGAAAACAATGTGCACCAACACTTGTATGAATGTACAAGTCTTCAATAAGCATTCCCTGATACCGTGCATATTCTGAGATGACCCCCTTAATGCCCTCCATCTATCTAGCCAGAAAAGAAGCCAAATAGATAATGAGGCGAGGGCTGGATTGTCTTGTAGGAGGGGAGTAGAATATGTGACATATGTACGTAAAATTTGGTGACACCAGAGTGAGAGGGATGTTTGACAACGGCTCCAGACATATTCAAGCTAAAGCCTGTGGGGCGTCTGCGTGATGGTGCTACAGCTGTTTGGGAATAAGAGAAATTTAGCTACAGCAGGGAAGAGCTTAAGTAAGTGACTCGGCAACCTCTGTGGACCATGTGAGGAGCTGAGAGGATGAGAGAAGCAGAGCGCTGGCTGTGATGCACGGGCTTTGTTGGCAGGATTTAATTGCAGCCAAAGACATTTGGAGTCACCTTCACACACACACACACACACACACACACACACACACAATGAGCAAGAGCTTAACGTCTTCCAAATCAGGGCATTACTTGCCAGTTAATTCACAGCTGTCTCCACAGACCGGTCTGATTACATGCTGTAATCTCAGCTCAACTTAAAGAAAGTGAGTGAAAGAAGAAACAAGAGGAATCTGACCATAGGGCTGCTGGCTAATTAGACTAGTTGCAGAATGTCACGTCTTTAAGAGTTGGACACCACTGAGTGAAATGCCAGAATTAGAAGTTATCGAGACTCAATCACTCTCAGCTCACATTACACATGAGAGCGGCTACAGTGACAACAACAGAAACACTGGTCCCTAACTATATTAGTGTTAACATAATTTACCAATTTCTTCTAAAATATACCACCACATACTTTTATTGTGTCCTGCAAAAGCAGAGACAACACACCAGAAGCAGTCCTGCCTTGTGTTGTGGAGAAATAAAAAAAATAAAAAATAAAAAAAAATGTGCACAAAAGTGGAGAAAATGTTTCATTCATGTTAAGTTTTTTAAGCACTTCTACATTCTGAGCAGAAAATAACTAGATGTAAAGTTGAGAGAAAATGTACCTTTTTGGGCTTCACCGCAACCTCAGAGTTGAAGCTGGACTCGAGGGCATCTTTGCCCTCCGCGTCACCCTCTTTGCTCTCCATCTCATCTTCACTAACAATAGGTCCGTTTTCACAGACGGGCGTTTGGAAGTCGTCATCAGGAAGAGGCGGGTAGCTATACTTGAAGGGGTCCTGGAATGTATCCAGATCAGTTATATTACTACATGAATGGTTTTTAAAGCATGTACAATGTCAATTTTAATTAATGGAGTCATACTAAATGTCTTTGATAAGTACAGAAAGTACCATGAACATAATGATATGGCTTATGCAAGGGAAATAACCAAACTGATTCTCATTGCTTATTAACTAAAATGATGAAGTTAAATTTCCCGGTTATTGTCAACTGGCAAATCTGATCAACATTTCAGTATAGAGTGTATACTAATAAAACAATATTCAAGATGACAGTGTGGCATAAACACTGCTCAAGGTAACACAAATATTTCTTTAAATATTTTATATTCAGAATTTGTTTAATATGATTAAAGGTTACACAACATAAGTGCGCATCACACAATCATTACAACATAATCCCACAAAGGTAATAAATATTACTGAATTATGTGACCAGTTGTTGTAACTATTGCATCATTGTACGAGTGACTTGCCTGTCGTAGAAGTCATGTGCAATTATGCCAACCTATTTTTCACTTATGCATTGTATTTTTCATTACTCTGAAACAATTTTGAGTTTGAAAACACTATATAATTACACTTCATAATCATGTTATTATCCTGTTGACTCTGCAATTCGAATTTTAAAGTTTTTATATAGCCTAACCATTTCATCATTCGTTTAAAATTGGCTATTGATGTTGTATAATGCTACAATAGCAATATGAACATGTCAAACTGGAAAGCGACTTAAATATATGTCTCTGAATATTATAAGGTCAGCTGGAAGTGTAATCTTTGAGTTGCCTCAGCGTGTCAGGCCCTTGGAGGAGAGTGACAGCGTGCTGATACATTGGCAGAGACAGATGAATTGTTGTCACAGTTTAGATTACCACGGGCTGTGCTTCTGCAAATGTGAAACTTGTTAGAGCCGCAACTCCGCAGACAGGCACACTGATCCAACACTTTTCCCTTAATTCCACTGCCAACGCTTTTAAAAATCATAGACTTTACTTTATGGATCTCTGAAACACAGGACTTAAATCTCCAAACTTGTAAAGCTCATCTTTTTACTCTTCAATGTCATTATCATGAACAAACACTTTCTGAGTTACAATTCTCATGAACATGCGTTAAATTACACACAGAAGCTATTCATCATGTTTACGCATGTCATTTACACAGTTATCTGAAGTTAGGAACGTTTGCTGAATCTGACGTAGCAAACTCGTATGAGAAGAATTCTTAAATATTCTTGCATGTCAACTGTGAGGATATTTCAGAAATGTTGAATATAACATACAGAAAGACATAATAACATACCATTCCACCCATGTGAGGTGGCAGGTACTCCGGCCCTATGAATGTCTGGATCTCAGATCTGGATGCAAACTTGAGCTTGCTGATTGCCTCCGGACCCAACCATGACTTCACAATCTTCCACGCAGCTGAAACAGAGACATGTTTATGCTCAAGATGTCAGAATCTGATTAATAATTAAGTTACTGTTGGTCACAAAACTATGCAAGTTTGTACGGACTGCAAAGAGAAGACAGGTTAATTCTCACCATTCATGATCCAAGGCATTTCCACGATGATCATTTTGGCTGAAATCATACAAAAATCTCTTCACTACAATTATGTTTGAAAATTCACAGGTTTGAGTTGAAAGTAGATGTAAATCACTAAAAAGTACTGAAATTAACATGTGAATGTGGATAAATATTTGTTGTAGACTTTACTTTACCGTGACTTACATAAAAACTTTGGATAATATACTTTGAAGCAATTGATAATGTACTTCACAAACTCCATGTCCTGAAACACAAAGTGGAGAAAAAAAAAACAATGATTTAAAACTCTGAACCACATAGAGGGCTTTAACAATAAAAGATGCTTTCTGGATTCCCAATAGGGAGTGCTTATTCACTCTTAACCACCTCTGAATTTGTACTGACAATTAACAGAAAATGAAATTCCTTAAGAGCTCATATAAATGCTTAATCTGTCTCAAATACTACGTCCGAGACTTGAGGATGTTATTTTGCTACGTTTTTTCAACTATACTGCTCTTTTATTTTGTTATGAACCATGTGAAAAATAGATACAACTTGTTGGTTTATGCTTATTTGTTATATGCTAATCATTGCAATAAATTACAAGGAGACAATTTTCCTGAAAACAAGCAAAAACAGAGCGACAGTTCACAGTAAATGACTTAAATGCATTCTCTCCACATACATAACAAGAAGTGTGTGATTCAAACAGATAATGTTTATCTAGGCTAAAAAAGCCAATCATGCCTATAAAATATTCACTATAAATATCATACTGAAACTGCATATCCAGGTGAAAGGTTCTGCCACACATTTGTTTTTGGTGAATACAATAAAAATTCATCTTACTGACAACCAGCTGATATGTCAATACATACACTGTGGTTAAGCTCCATAATTAGCTTGAAGCCTCATTGCTATTCAGGAGACTCACTCCAGAACCTTAATGAGATCATACTGGCTACCCTTGCTCTAGCTCGTACTGTGGTTCAACAAGCCTCAGTAAGGCTGCTTTCCAAACTGATCTTCTAATCTAAGCATTTCGTATTTGGCTTGCATAGCTATTTATCCTTTTTGCCTTGCTTTTGTTGGTTTATTTGTATTTAAATGAGCCATTTCTCCAGGAGAGAGCCTAGCCAGTGAAATACACATACATAGTACTCGTTGACAGAGAGCTCCGTCAAGGAGCTCACGCCTGCGACACAGTGAGTCTTGGATTAGACAGTCCACTTCAATTGACCAATGGGATTTAAAGGTTACTTTAATCTCCAAAGTGTAAAACCACTGAAGAGCATCAGTCGCTGCAAGACCACAGCTCAAACAGCAAGAAATATAGGAGATACGCAAGTGCATTTCAGTGACAGTCACAGCAAGGAAATGGGTCTTTCTCTGAAATAAGAGTGAAGCTTATTAAGAGGGAGGGAATGAAAATGCTAAATACAGTTTGTTTTGGAGGACTGGATATAACTGTAAGAAACAAAGATACATTTAAACTTGGATTAAAGCATGATCATAATAAAAACAGATGTTATTGATAAAAAAAACAAACCTTGTCATCATGTACTCACTATATTGCTGAGGCCAGACTCAGTCATGTCAAACACAACGGTGAGTGGCATCCCAGGTTCTTTCTTCGCATACCGCTCCAGCCAGAAGGCAACATACTTCTTCTTGTCCATGATTGTTTTTGCATCCTTGACGTGTAGCTTTACTTTGAACCAGACTAAACACAGTAAAAAGAGGATCAAAATGAATGATTAAAGTATCAGTACTTTTGTATTTGTGTAGAATATCAGTCGCGGCAACACACTTTTAATGGAACATATATCTTGTCTGACAATTAAAAACAGGCTAAGCTGTAAGTGTATGTTTACTGTAAGTAGTAATTTACTGTAATACAACATGTACATACAGAGCTTGTTGCCCTCTTTGTCATAGCCGTGGAGGTAGACAGCACCAGTCTCGAACATCCATTTGGGAATGGTGCTCTCAGTGAGATCTGAAACAAGCAACACACACACACACACACACACACACACACCACACACACACACACACGTTGCTAACTGGTGTTAGTTATCATTTAAATTTTATAGCTATACAGAACATGGCATTGTAGGCAGGTTGCTTGTAAGGTTCATCATTTTAGCATAGCCATCTTGTTCTATTCCTGGAGATGAGTCATCACAACAACAAAATATAACTAAAATCGGTCGACAGAAACTGAAAATGTATGAAACATACATGTAGGTGAGCCAGAATTAGACAGCTGTACTTTCCTGAGTTTCCAGAGGAAGTCTCTCACTTACCATTATTTAACAGTTTTATTGAACCTATCGGTTGAGGATCCTAGTTTTCCTAAAATGTGAAACTGCTTCAAATAACAGAAAATAACACATGTGTCATCAACCCTTTTCAACAGATTAATAAAAGAACTAACAACATATGGCCTTGGTGACATGGCCCGCGATGCCCCTGGATACTAATGACTTGAACAAATAAAATTTCCTAAAACTAACTCTTTGACAAATTGAATTTGCTGGATTAAAGACTACCAAAACAGCAACACTGAGAAACTCCTCAGAAAACAGCAACAGTGGGAATTGTTCTTGGGGGTAGCCTCTGCATGGAGACATGGGTGTTTAACACACAATGACACTCTGTCTGGATTCATCCAAGAGCAGCACAATAACAACCACTGATCTGTGTTGCGAGCTCGCAAACTAAATATCAATGACAACATTTCTACTTTTAGGTAGGACTGGATATTTACCAACCAAATTGTGTGCCTGTAGCACCAGCATCAAAAGGTACCAGAGGTTAGCATTTAAGGACTGGTCAGATTCATAATGTTGTTTATTTATTCTCTGGTCATGTAATTCCTGATTAAAAAACAAAATTTTGCTCTGATTTAATATCGTTCTTAGAAAACATTTCATCTTTGAGAACAGTAGTGTATTTTGTTAAAAGAAAAGAGAGTTTTTTAGAAAAACATAAAAAATAAAATATTTAGTTTTGGTATCAGCTTCATAATTCAGTTACGAGTTTGGGGCTAGTATTAAAAAGGAGGCTCAGCCCTATCTTTAGGTGATGTGAAATTGCATATTACAAACAGCATTATTTCTTACCATTCAAACCATATTCTTTTCTCCACTGAAGACTCTCATCAATCATTTTCAAGGCATCATCAACAACATAAAGTCTCCATGTCAGGTAGCCTTCCACCAGCGCATCATCTGTCTGAAGCCTTTCCAAGTCTCTGGAGTCATATTTATCTGTTGAATCTGTATCATAAACATAAGTTAATATAAAGGCTGAATCACATGACGTTTAACTTTAAAGACATCAAGCACAAGGTTTCACTCTCAACCACATTGACTTCATGACCTTTGTGTTGTGTTGTAAACTCAAATAAAGTTCATCTGGAGGCCATAACATTACCCCCCCGGGCTGTATTTTTCTAAAGACGTGTCAACACAGTTAGCTAGTTATCTGCTGGGGCTTATCTGGGTTCCGAGCATTTAGGTCATGATGTTTACAACATGAGTAAAGTAAGTTAGCAGTAACGTTACACTATTTGACAGTTACCTAAAATATCTGAATATATGCGGCGTATGTCGCTGACAATAACCCAACATTCATGCAAAAACAAGTGACAGGTCAAGGAGAAATTTAATGTCATCTTATCCATAATAACAGTGTTAACGTTCTGTTTACCTTGGAGGAACTCGTTCTTGAATCTCTGTCTCGTCTCCTCAATTTTCTTCTCAATGTCCTACGTTAGTGTCAAAGAGTTCGCTCGGGTTAGACACATGTTTTCAACAGATGAAGTTAATATGTTAAATAGGGAAAATGTGCTCTAACGGTAACGTTAGTTTACGATACCTGCTCTCCTTCGTGCTGGTCAAGTTCAGCCATATTTAACTGTGCCCGAGTTTCCTTCTCTATGGTTGCTAACCCAGTTCCTCCTTGCTGAGCTAGCTAGTTAGCTAACGTCCAGAGTTAGATGAATCAGTGCGAAATGTGAAACTGACGTCCTGTCGTTGCCATTTTGGCTCCAGTCGTGGCCACACCTCTACGATGAGTTGTTTGTTTCAACTGAAAGAGTAGAGGAAGTGTTCACTTGAATACGAGATAACCAGAAAAGCGTTTATTTAATCATTCATACAGCTAAAATATTTAAATAGGACATACGGGCTACAGACTTTAGCTTAATGTCTTCAATTCACTTACGTTACCAACGTCACCCACAATGCACTTGGACTGACAGGAAGCGTTCAATTTCAGTTGGCGCGTCGCTACTTTGACTGTAACAGTCGCTATGAAACGTTAAATAAGGCTAGATTTCTGCAGAAACCCCAAACTTTATTAGTAACTAGTCGTCCATTTGTACACCTCGGTGACACTTCTGTCATGAGAGTGACAGGCTCCACTTTAGAGATAACGTTAACTCAAGCTGTCAAAAAGGAGGGATCGAACCTTATAGCAACGTGAAGCTGCTCATAATGGAGAGATATCGAAGCCTGCATCGCCTTTCCCTTTGTGGAAAGATAATCTTATTTAACTGTAAACGAGCTACAGCCACAAATGACAGCGAACGAAGTGAGTTAATATTCTGCAGCCTTTCATTTGAACGGAAAGACAACGCGTTCCTGATCGCAGCTGAGGGAGCGGCTGTCATCAGCAGGAAAAGATCAGCGCATCGTGTGGAGATTGTGACATGTAAATGTGCCATACATGTTCAGAAGAGAGTCGCCACACCATGTGTTTTAGTGACAAAGAAGAGCGAGAAAGGAGGGAGCTTCCAGTATACTCTTCTCACACTGAGCAGTTCAAACCGACTGGAGCCCTGCATGGAGTTTAAACTCCCTTATGAAATGAGGGAGAATGTATCTATCCTCCGGGGCCCCACGGTGTTGTGGAGCCATGCTGGTAATGTCTTCTATACATCTCTGCAGGCAGGAGAGGTGAGACAGGTACCCATTCCGTTGTCCCACATTGTTGTTGGAGAACTCCCCCTCCACAAAGAACAAATATTTGTTCTTGGACTGCAAAACGTTTCAGAGCAGTCCTTGAATAACCAGTCCACAAGCAAAGCCCTTGGCTATTTTGTTGACAATGGACACGTGTTTGATGGCACTATAATTTTGCCTCATCCCTACATTTGCATCACAAGGTGCGTTTTTGTGCTGTCAGCTGAAAAAGTGGATGGTGGGCTGAAATCTGCTGTAGTTGCAGCAACTTTTAATCAGCAACTTGTTTACTTTGAGAATGGCATTGTGAAAGACACATGTCAGCTCCCCTTTGGACAGACTGAAAATATTCAGCTTGTCAACACCGGAAGAAATGGCTGCCTGTTCGTCATATCCTTTCACCAGGAGCATGTGTGTGCTGTATGGAAGGAAACATTTCAAGTATGCAAAAATGGGGTTTCATTTTCTGTAGCTAGACTTTCATTCAGTTTACAAGATTTCAGAAGCCTACTTTGTTAAACTCTCTTTTCCAGATAGCGTCTCACTGGTCAGGTGTCAGCTCTGTCCACGTGGATGACTTTGTGGGATGTGGAACAGACCAAATGCTGTTGTGTTTTAAGGATCAAGGCGTAACACGACACTCATTGGACAAATTCCTCATCACTGACCTCTGTGGCATTTCATATTCTGTAAGGCATCATTTTCCCTCACATGAGCTATGCTACTTCACAGTTACAATACTTTGTGACAGAGGACAGAGTGACTAATAGATAATACATTTTTTTAGAGTTGCCAGGACAATATTGCACCAGAGACATCTCTTCTACCAGAGAACTATCTCCTCACTCTTCAAGCTTTAGAGTCCAGACTACAGGTGAGCATATATAAACTGTATTTTATCTGCCTTAATGCTGGAGGGCTGGGCAATAATATAATCTTATTGTCTGTCTGTTGTTTGCAACATCAATTTGACTATTTTATGTATGTACACTGAAAAAAATTATAAACGCAACACTTTTGTTTTTGCTGGCCACTAAGTAGCTCCGTTGGAGCAGTTGGGGTTATGGGCCTTGCTCAAGTGCACCTCAGTGGTGGTAAATTAGGGAGGGCAAGCACTGCTTGGTTTACTTTCCACACCCAGATTTATCCTGCCGGTCCAGGGATTTAACCGGCGACCCGGTCACAAGCTCGCTTCTCCAACCTTTGGGCCACCACTGCCCAAACTTAAAGATCTAAGACTTTCTGTATGTACACAAAATGCCTATTTCTCTCAAATATTGTTCAAATCTGTCAAAATCTGTGTTAGTGAGCACTTCTCCTTTGCCAAGATAATCTATCCACCTCACAGGTGTGGCATATCAAGATGCTGATCAGACAGCATGGGTATTGCACAGGTGTGCCTTAGGCTGGCCACAATAAAAGGCCACTCGAAAATGTGCAGTTTCACTGTGTTGGGGGGGGGGGTCCGGAAACCAGTCAGTCTCTGATGTGACCACCATTTGCCTCACTCAATGCAACACATCTTCTTTGCATAGAGTTGATCAGATTGTTGATTTTGGCCTGTGGAATGTTCCTGTGGTCCGCTCCTCTTCAATGGCTGTGCGATGTTGCAGTCAGGTCTAGACCCCGATGAGGACGACAAGCATGCAGATGAGCTTCCTGGAGACAGTTCCTGACAGTTTGTGCAGAAATTCTTTGGTTATGCAAACTGATTGTTGCAGCAGCTGTCTGAGTGGTTGGTCTCAGATGATCTTGGAGATGAAGGTCCTGGGCTGGTGTGGTTACAAGTGGTCTGCGGTTGTGAGGCCGGTTGGATGTTCTGCCAAATTCTCTGAAACACCTTTGGAGACAGCTTATGGTAGAGAAATGAATATTCACTTCACGGCCAACAGCTTTGCTGGACGTTCCTGCAGTCAGCATGCCAATTGCACGCTCCCTCAAAACTTGTGACATCTGTGGCATTGTGCTGTGTGATGGAACTGCACATTTTTGAGTGGTCTTTTATTCAATTCAATTTTATTTATATAGCGCCAAATCACAACAACAGTTATCTCACAGCGCTTTTCATAATTCCATAAAAGAGGGAAGGAGAGAGAGGGGAGGGAGGCAGCCTGCATAATATACACACAGCGGTACAGACAGTAAAGGTGATGTTATAGATATAAAATGGTATAGATATTTATAATGTGTTAATGATAATAATCGTAATGTTAATGATTATAATAACAATAGGACTAGTAACAATAGTTGTTGTAGCAGAGGGTGTCGAGCAGGAACACAGGGGCAGCAGGCGACCCGCAGCCACAGATCCAGACTCCACAGCTCCAGAGCCAGAAACACCTGCAGGAAGTGATAGGAGAGAGCAGAGGGACGAGAAAGCACAAGACTACCGGAAAGGGGAGAAGTTGTGTTAGTAACATGCAATAATGGGATGAGGTTGCATACAGAGGGAGAGGAAGTAGAGGAGAGAGGAGCTCAGTGTATCATAGGAAATCCCCTGGCAGTCTAGGCCTATAGCAGCTGCACTAAGGGATGTTTCAGGACTCACCTGAGCCAGTCCTAACTATAAGCTTTATCAAAGAGGAAAGTCTTAAGCCTACTCTTAAATATGGAAATGGTGTCTGCCTCCTGAACCCAAACTGGAACCTGGTTCCACAGGAGAGGAGCTTGATAGCTGAACGCTCTGGCTCCTAGTCTACTTTTGGAGACTCTAGGAACCACAAGTAACCCTGCATTCTGGGAGCGCAGTTCTCTGGTGGGGTTGTAAGGTACTATGAGCTCTTTAAGATAAGATGGTGCCTGACCATTAAGAGCTTTGTAGGTAAGAAGAATGATTTTAAATTCTATTCTGGATGGTGAAAAAAGGTGGTCCTTGAAATTTGCTTAATGTGAGACTTAAACAACATGTCCTGATCAAAGATCCTCACAGTGGTGCTGGAGGCCAGGGCGATGCCATCAAGGGAAACTATATCTTTAGATAATGTGTCACGGAGGTGCCTAGGCCCCAGAACAATAACTTCAGTTTTATCTGAGTTTAACATTAGAAAATTACAGGTCATCCAGGTTTTAACATCCTGAAGGCACATTTGAAGTTTAGCTAACTGATGAGTTTCATCTGGCTTGATCGATAGATATAACTGAGTATCATCTGCATAACAATGAAAGTTTATGGAATATTTCCTGATAATATTGCCTAAGGGAAGCATATATAAAGTGAAGAGGATTGGTCCGAGGACAGATCCTTGAGGAACTCCATGACTAACTTTGGCATGCATGGAGGACTCATCTTTAACATGTACAAACTGAAATCGATCTGATAAATAGGACTTAAACCAGCTTAGAGCGGTTCCTTTAATGCCAATGAAATGTTCCAGTCTCTGCAATAGGATCTGATGGTCAATGGTATCAAATGCAGCACTAAGATCTAATAAAACCATTACAGAGATTATTATTATTTAATATTATTATTATTACAAAGTCCTTTGTCTGATGCAATAAGGAGGTCATTAGTAATTTTCACCAGTGCTGTCTCTGTGCTATGATGAACTCTAAATCCTGACTGAAAATCCTCAAACTATTGCTCTGTAGAAAGTCACACAGCTGTTTAGCAACTGCTTTCTCCAGAACCTTAGAGAGAAATGGAAGGTTAGATATAGGTCTATAGTTGGCTAAAACATCCGGATCAAGTTTGGGCTTTTTCAGAAGAGGTTTAATTACAGCTACTTTAAAGTACTGTGGTACATAGCCTGTTGTTAGAGATAGATTGATCATATCTAGTATAGAAGTGCTGACTAAGGGTAAAACTTCTTTAAGCAGCCTAGTCAGGATGGGGTCTAAGAGGCAGGTTGATGGTTTAGATGAAGAAATTTTTGAAGTTAGTTGGTAAAGATTGAGGGAAGCAAAGCAGTCTAAAGATATGTCTGGTTTTACTGGTTTCTAAGATTCCTGAGTTTAGAGATAAGTCGGTGCCAGTTGAGGGTAGGTCTTGGTGAATTTTGTTTCTAATAGTTAGAATTTTATCATTAAAGAACCTCATGAAATTGTAACTACTGAGAGCTATGGGAATACTTGGCTCAATAGAGCTGTGACTCTGTCAGCCTGGCTACAGTGCTGAAAAGAAACCTGGGGTTGTTCCTATTTTCCTCTATTAATGACGAGTAGTACGCTGGTCTGGCATTACGGAGGACCTTCCTATAAGTTTTAAGACTAACTTGCCAAATTAAATGAAAATTTTCCAGTTTGGTGGAACGCCAATTCCTCTCAAGTTTCCGTGATATTTGCTTTAATTTGCGAGTTTCAGTATTATACCATGGAGCTAACCATCTTTGTTTTATTATTTTCTTTTTTAGAGGGACAACAGAGTCGAGTGTCATTCGCAGCGAGCCTGCAGCACTATCAACAAGATGATCGATTTGGGAGGGACTGAAATTAGCATAGGAGTCCTCTGTTACTTTGTGACTTGATAATGAATTTAGAGCTGATGGAATCACATCCTTAAATTTAGCTACAGCACTATCAGACAGACGTCTTGTATAGACATTTTTGCCCAATGGCGTGTAGTTCAGCAATACAAACTCAAAAGTTATCAAACAGTGGTCAGATAAAGAGGGATTCTGTGGGAACACTATTAAATGTTCAATTTCAATACTGTATACCAAAACAAGGTAGAGGGTGTGGTTAAAACAGTGAGTCGGTTCATGAACACTCTGAGAGAAGCCGATGGAATCTAACAGAGAGATAAACGCAGTACTGAAGCTGTCATTCTCAACGTCCACATGAATATTAAAATCCCCTACAATAATAACTTTGTCCGTTTTAAGGACTACAGTTAACAAAAACTCTGCAAATTCAGATAAGAATTCAGAGTACGGACCAGGTGCTCGGTACACTATAACAAAAAGAATTGGTTGCAGTGATTTCCAACTTGGGTGTGAAAGACTAAGAACAAGGCTTTCAAATGAGTTATAATTTAGTTTAGGTTTAGAGCTGATTAGTAGGCTAGAGTCGAAGATAGCTGCAACTCCACCTCCTCGGCCTGTGCCTCGAGGAATTTGTGAGTATTAGTATGACTGGCCAGCGTAAGGCACACCTGTGCAGTACCCATGCTGTTTGATCAGCATCTTGATATGCCACACCTGTGAGGTGGATGGATTATCTCGGCAAAGGAGAAGTGCTCACTAACACAGATTTTGACAGATTTGTGAACAATATTTGAGAGAAATAGGCCTTTTGTACATAGAGAAAGTCTTAGATCCTTGAGTTCAGCTCATAATGAATGGGGGCAAAAACAAAAGTGTTGTGTTTATAATTTTGTTCAGTGTATTTGTATTAATACTGGGATGACTATTTGATTTCATCCATATTCACCAGCAATAATAATCTGCATACTCAATGACCTGTCAATCAAATATGATCTGTCTTTTAGAGTGGATTGACCGTGCTGCAGGAGCTTCAAAGAGAAGTGAGAGTGAAGGAAAGAGTCCTACAGCAGTCGGTCCAAGCCCTCACTGATGTGGTCTCTGAAAGAGAACCTATTTTCACACAGCCTGAGCAGGTACTGTTCATCTAAGAAAATATTTAATATATTCAATCTGTTGCAGTATTAAGCAAAGTTTTCAGAGGGCTGGATGATATTAGTAATGGTTATTTAACCAGCAACTCTTTCAACCCGATCACAACAAAAATGAATAGACATTGTGCCTTTGCTATTGAGCTGGGACAGGACATCAGGACATCTTACCACATGTTGATGACAACAACATTGTCAATGTAACATTAGCTTTTGTAATGTTCAGGAGCATTTACATTTTCATAATGAAAGTCTGTAACACAGATATGCATTTAAGTTATATTTAAAACTTTAAAAAATATATAGTCCATTAACATCTTTAATGGACTATAAAAATATTAAACTTTTTTTTGTCTCCATAAAACACCAGGCTATTATTGCTAGTCCTGCCCTCCTCCCCCTCAGTTGGTTAAATTTTGCTCCAGCACTTGTCAGTCATGTTGATAAGTTGTCATGTTTAAAATGGCAACTCTCATGAGACTGAGGCTGAGGCAGTCGGAGTTTTTAATGCTGCCACTGGCACTGAGGAGGACCAAAAGATCTAATGCGGGCAATGGAAACACATGCCTTACCGATACACCCATAGTGAATGGGGTATATGGCTCAAAGCTAGCTTTTTTTGAAAAGCAAATAACTATACTACATTCTGAAAGAACCACCACAACACTGTTTGTTTTAAATGGCATTTAAGAAATCTGCTACCTGTGTGCCTAATGGGCTTTTGTTCAAATTGAAATGTCTGATAAACTGCTATTGCTGTCACACACTTGTCATTGCTGATTATAGTCTTTGCACTTTCTGTCCAGGAAGGCCTTATTGCTCTGTGGGATTGTGATGATGAATCAAAGGATGAGGCCTTGGATGACAAGACACAAGACATGCCAGCAGTGTCTTCAAAACCTCAAGTTGACAAACTATGGCATCGCATCGCTGGGGACCGAATGGTTGTGGGAGTGATACTAACTACTGACAGCCCTGTGTAAAAATAATTTTTAATTGCATATATTTTTCTTTGTGTGGACTGAGGCATCAGATATATGACCCATTGAACATGACATTATCTAAATACGTAGTAGTGATTTTTCTAAAATGCTCATCCACTTGCTAACTCGTCAAGCATAATGAGTTCATCTGGTTGAGAGGACTCGTGTGTGTATGGTAAGGATACAGGCCATATTAATGTGGCACTCCATGTTTTAGTCAAGTGAGTGTCTTTTACTTTACTCTTTAGTCAAGTCAAAACTTTAGTCAAGTGAACTACTGTCTAGCTGTCAGACCATATCATGGCTGCCTGATTAGATTTGTCCGAAGTAAAATGTTATGGTGACATGTGTTGAGGTGGTCAGATCATGTTGAGTAAATTACATCTGTGAGGTAAAATATATTTTTTGCATGATTAGATCAATGAGTCTTAGAGAACTATAACACCGAATATCTGTAAGCAAAGCGCACTAAGTACAGCTTTTGCCTCTCTAATTGCCCCCACCTTTATAGGCAGATGCAGGTTGGCTAGGTGGTCACCATGGCAACAGTCTCTAAGCTCCTTCTGTGGGAACAAGAAGCTATCAAATTCTTTCATCCACCTGTTCATGTTTTTTATTTGAGAACATGTGGAGGAAAACTACTTCTGGCATGATTGCCTCAAGAGCCCAGATATTGTTGTTGTGATTGGTGCACTTGTACAGCTGATGTAATATCACCACCTGGAGATATCGGTGTTAATCAGTTCACAATCTCCAGTCTGATTACCTACTGTCCGTGTGATATCTGATTGTTAGTGATGTGTTATTTTTGTTCCAGACCAGTGGCCAGTGTGAGCTTATCCATTCTGACAGAGACGGGCCAGAGCTCAATGCCTGCAGTCATCCAGACCCAGAGCCAAGTGTGCTGGCTCCCAGCGCCCTGCTCCTCATCATCATCATCCTCCTCCTCTGCCTCCTTGTTCCCAGAGCCCGCAGCCAAAAGAAGCAAGCCGCACAGTGCCAGCAGACCCAATGATCTCAACACACGCAGACTGGCTGTGACTGCTGTGACCAGGCTGACACCTCTGTTGAACTCTGGCTGTGTCAAGTGCCGTGTCATGCTCCATTACGTCCATAGACGAGATGCTTTTTCCGTCGTGAGCAACCCAACACCGGTTGTCCTGCATTGTGGTCAAGTTACTTTAGACATCCGTACTGATTTCCAAACCCAACTGTTGAAAAACCCCAAACTCAAAACAGGTAAAATCACAAATTCTTGAAGGCTTGATTTTAATATTGGTCACATGGATGTTCGTGATTGTCTTCTTTTTGTGCCCAGATGAGGTTAAAGAAGATTTGCTTAGTCTGATGGCAGTGCTGGAACGTTGGGTCTTCTACATAGACTCTCCTGATCACAGCTTGGGTGATGTAGATGGCTGGATTCAGAAAAGAGTGGGTTGTAAGAGGATAGAAGTAAGCCCTCAGTATCTACTGTTAAATTCTTCCGGACCATCTGCTCTCATGCTGCTGCATTGGCATCAGATAACCCCTTTCCAGGGGGAACTGTCTGTCCACTCCAGGTAAACCACTTTTATTTACAGATACCAGTAAGATGGCTGTATTACTGACCTCAGAGCTATAGTTTTTGATGGTTTGGATAGTATTGAGTTTAGCCCATAATCATATTAGTGGGTCTTTATAAAAGGATGCATTTTTATGTGTAAGTTAAAGATGCTTTTTAAAAGAAATGATTGTGTGTTGTGTTACTTACCAAAAACACATTGTGTTTCCTTGAGGTCTAACAAAGATACTGAATCTATTACCTTCCTTATGAAACATTTGCAAGGCGGATTTTTGGAATATTTTGACACCTGCATTGTTTACTACCAGTCTTTTTCTTCCCTGCCTTTGCCAGTTGCTTTGATGCAGTTGTTGGTGCCTTACAGCCACTAGTAGATCAGTGGAATTGTTTACCATTGGCAGGAGTGTGTATAGCGTTACCCACTTGCATTTGCGCATGTATTTGCCTGTGTATGTGTGTCTTTGTATGCATGCATAAGAACAAACAAACGGCAGAAAATTGCTCTGTAGCGCTACTGGAGGTCCAGAACTACAAAGATTACCTTTTTAGTAAGTTCTAAGTTGACCTTCATATTCTATTGTCTGAACACCATTTCCATATTTTCAAACTTCCTTTTGGTTTTCATAATTTCAATTTTTTGTGCTACTAATTTGATAGTCATGTAAAGTCAGAAAAACAGTAGTAATATAAATTCTTTCTATTAATTTGCAAGTTAAGGTATTACTGCTCTGTGTATTAGTTCAAACACTACTACAAGGGACTCTCTTGAATTATTCAATTTAGTTTGAAAGAACTAAGGAAGGTAGTTCCACAAGTAGATGTGGGCACTGCTCAATTTATATTTATGCATTCAAAGTTGACTAGGATGCATGTCCGTGTGAGATTCCCCTGAATATCAAAGTGATTACGATTCTCTGTCAAGCAGAGCACTCCTGCAAATAAAGTCAGATTGGATGTTAAGCAGCTGACAAATGACAGAAATGATAAAAAAGACCTCAAGAAACATTAACAACCATATTATCATTTATTGAAACATATATTATATGATGCAAACTGTGGTACTGTTGTTCCTTAGCAGCCAGTTACAGATGCTGCAGTTCCTGGACTCTCTCTTGGCTTACCTCCCTGTGTCCTGCTCCATCCAGCCTGTCAGAAGTACAAGAGGACAGGGTGCAGCTCAAACATTTTCTTTGGCACTGGAGAAAGAGGTGGTGTCACTCAGAGAGTGTGCGTCATTGCTACTTTGTGAAGAAGAGGAAGAGGGGAAGAAGAAGAAGAGCCTCGAACACGAGGACAGCCCTGAACCAGTTTCTGTGAAGGGTCTCCAGAGGTGCAGAGAGGTGTGGCAGCGGGACATGGAGAGGAGTAGGATGAGGTTGAGCCCCCTGGTGGATGTGGGGAAGTATCGTAGGCTAACCCAAAGCATGTCCAAAGTCCAGCTCGATGGGGATCTGGCAGCTCTCTTAAACACTCTTTGCTCGGCTAATACGCTGCCGTGAAAACCCCATTGATAAATCTTTGTTTCCTGGACAAACGGTTAGTATTAGTGGGGGGGGGGGGGGTATAATGTGAAGTGTTCATCATGTATATTCTGCACACTTCACTTTTACTGAGAGCAACCCTCGCTGCTGGCTTGGTTATGTCTGTGCTGAACCGTGTGTGTCTGCTCTCTCAGACAGCCTCTTGGCATTTGCATCTATATAGTGTCTGCTGCTGTGTAGAGCCTCAGCTTATTTCCATTGGATCACCTCCTCGGTTTCACTGCCTTAATCTCATACTGATGTGATACTGCTCCCTGCTCAGTTCATTCTTCTGTTCATGTCCCTTTAGACCCTCTGTTCAAAAACCCTCTGTAATGTCTGTTGCTGCCGTGTGCTGTTCACTAGGCGGCAGACCGCTTTCATTCTGGAGCAAGAAACTGTTTGTGTTATGAATAAAGACAACATAAGATGGTAGAGCGAGGACTTCTACATCTGCTCAGTGGCCGGAGTTGACTGAAAGCTTTTAGTGGTACTTTCCCCTCATGGTTCAGTTATTTCCCTGTGAAACGATGTAAATAAAAAGTCCTTGGATGCTGTTTTCTCCTGTGATGCTGCACAGGCTGTCAACACTGTTAGTTAAAATGCCATTCGTCCAAGTAAACATCAAACCCTACTTAAAAGGGCAGCGGCTTTGCTGGATACATAAGGTCTGTGGCAGCTTGACCAGTAGTGTGTGCTGAAATGGTTGGTGAGGGGGGTTTGTTCTTTGTGTTTTTTCTTTGTCCCAGTGTGGGCTGTAAAACGAGGATGTGCATTTCTTTTTTGTTGCGGGAGCTATTCCACCTGTTTGTAGTACTCAGCCTGAGGAGCAAGAAACTCCCCCTCTTTTACACCTTTAATGTCTCTGCTTCATTGCAAGTAACCGCTTTCACTGGACTCACTGCCACAGGACTCCTCTGTTTCCTGTTTTTCATGAGTGATTCGTAACATGTAACATTATGATGGCAATGCAGCTGTGGATAAAAGAAATGTACAGAAGTAAAAATGTTAGAATTGAAATAAAGCCCACGTCTGAGGTAGCGCTTGCTGTTATATTCACACAACTCAGCATCAGCCACCATGCAAGTTGATAACACACGTCAACACTTTTTTTTGCTCCTTTAATCCCTCACAAACCGAAAACAGGCAAACTACCCCCACCATTTATTTATTTATTTATTTATTTTAAGCTGAGAGACAAACACCCAGTAATAAGACCAGTAAATGGCCAGGCAGAAATAGATCACATGTGAAAACGAAAATTCAATTGTATTGCTGTTTCCTTAAAGCCCCAACTGCCTCCCAAAGTAAAATATATGGTTTGTCATCCTATTTTTGCCTGTTAACTTCTATTAACTCTGAGCGGTGGAAGAAGGCTGCGGGGTTTCTAGCCTCTGATGAAGTCCCCTCACTTTAATGGGGAATGAAAAGGTGGTAGAGGAATAATGTGACTGCTGTTATGAGACAACTCAGACATGGGGAAACCAAAATCTACACCCCATGTAAGTTATTAATATTTCATTATATTTACTTACAGGCAAACTGACAGATTCCTGCATCATTTGACACTTTGTGGATTTTAGTATGGAAGCCCTTCATTCATCATCCTGACTAACTTTTCATCTATTTTTTTCCTGGTGAAAGTAGACTGCCATACTTTGATTAGAATAATAAAAATTTAAAGACACAGTCCTTAATATATTGACCGCATATAGTTTAAGCATTTTTTGCTACAGTGAGGGAAATAAGTATTTGAACACCCTGCTATTTTGCAAGTTCTCCCACTTAGAAATCATGGAGGGGTCAGAAATTGTCATCGTAGGTGCATGTCCACTGTGAGAGACATAATCTAAAACAAAAAATCCAGAAATCACAATGTATGATTTTTTAACTATTTATTTGTATGATACAGCTGCAAATAAGTATTTGAACACCTGTCTATCAGCTAGAATTCTGACTCTCAAAGACCTGTTAGTCTGCCTTCAAAATGTCCACCTCCACTCCATTTATTATCCTAAATTAGATGCACCTGTTTGAGGTCGTTAGCTGCATAAAGACACCTGTCCACCCCATACAATCAGTAAGAATCCAACTACTAACATGGCCAAGACCAAAGAGCTGTCCAAAGACACTAGAGACAAAATTGTACACCTCCACAAGGCTGGAAAGGGCTACGGGGAAATTTCCAAGCAGTTTGGTGAAAAAAGGTCCACTGTTGGAGCAATCATTAGAAAATGGAAGAAGCTAAACATGACTGTCAATCTCCCTCGGACTGGGGCTCCATGCAAGAGCTCACCTCGTGGGGTCTCAATGATCCTGAGAAAGGTGAGAAATCAGCCCAGAACTACACGGGAGGAGCTGGTCAATGACCTGAAAAGAGCTGGGACCACCGTTTCCAAGGTTACTGTTGGTAATGCACTAAGACGTCATGGTTTAAAATCATGCATGGCACGGAAGGCTCCCCTGCTTAAACCAGCACATGTCAAGGCCCGTCTTCAGTTTGCCAATGACCATTTGGATGATCCAGAGGAGTCATGGGAGAAAGTCATGTGGTCAGATGAGACCAAAATAGAACTTTTTGGTCATAATTCTACTAACCGTGTTTGGAGGAAGAAGAATGATGAGTACCATCCCAAGAACACCATCCCTACTGTGAAGCATGGGGGTGGTAGCATCATGCTTTGGGGGTGTTTTTCTGCACATGGGACAGGGCGACTGCACTGTATTAAGGAGAGGATGACCGGGGCCATGTATTGCGAGATTTTGGGGAACAACCTCCTTCCCTCAGTTAGAGCATTGAAGATGGGTCGAGGCTGGGTCTTCCAACATGACAATGACCCGAAGCACACAGCCAGGATAACCAAGGAGTGGCTCTGTAAGAAGCATATCAAGGTTCTGGCGTGGCCTAGCCAGTCTCCAGACCTAAACCCAATAGAGAATCTTTGGAGGGAGCTCAAACTCCGTGTTTCTCAGCGACAGCCCAGAAACCTGACTGATCTAGAGAAGATCTGTGTGGAGGAGTGGGCCAAAATCCCTCCTGCAGTGTGTGCAAACCTGGTGAAAAACTACAGGAAACGTTTGACGTCTGTAATTGCAAACAAAGGCTACTGTACCAAATATTAACATTGATTTTCTCAGGTGTTCAAATACTTATTTGCAGCTGTATCATACAAATAAATAGTTAAAAAATCATACATTGTGATTTATGGATTTTTATTTATTTTTATTTTTTTTAGATTATGTCTCTCACAGTGGACATGCACCTACGATGACAATTTCAGACCCCTCCATGATTTCTAAGTGGGAGAACTTGCAAAATAGCAGGGTGTTCAAATACTTATTTTCCTCACTGTATACCTATCTTACTTAATGTACATATAGGGTTGTGTTAATGCTGTGTCTATAACAACATGTTTAGACATGATCATGGATGGTGCTGTTTGATGAAGGCAATTTTTTAATAGCCTACTAATTAAAATGGCATGAACTCGATTTAACAAGAAATTCTCAACACAAGGTCCACTTAACTTTATTTCTGAAGCTTTTAGCCACGTCCTATGGCCTTCCTCAGCAGATCAAGAGACTCAGTTGTCAAGGAGTCATCTCCGTGACAACTGAGCTACTTGATCTACTTCAGTTGTACTGAAGTTGTGGTTTTCAGATGCTGCTTCATTTTTAAATGGTTCTGGGCGTGAATTCATAGACACTAGTTTCTCTGTGATTATAGAAAAGGCTACCTTGAGCTGTAAGGATGGAGTAGAGATCATTACTGCAGATATCCTTACACCAACTAACAATAGTTAGTTGCCACGTGTCACACTGGTGCAGCATTCATGACGCACATAGTCTGTACATAACATGGGCTCTCTTTCATGCACACAGGGTCTGTTCTGCAAGTGTGCCATTGAAGCATAACCGTCTGAATAAACTCCACAGAAAATAGCAGATTTGTGGCTGCTATTATTACTTTAATACAGTGGGAATTTATTTTTAATTTAGTGTGTTTGGAGTATTCATGTTTGGCAAAATCATGCACCAGTGTTCATAACTCCATTAAGGTCCCGCTTTTCTCTCACACTGGCCCTCTCAATTGCTGTGCAGTTGCTATGGCAACCCTCATTTCTTGCCTCTCCCTCAGACCTCACAAAGCAGCCTCCCTAAACCTTAATGAATGGTGCAAAGTTGTCTCCTACTTAAACACAAATATAAAAATATTTCCCTTTCATAAGACGTCATACTGAAGTTGATTGCATAACCTGCATTGCGTTCCTTGCATATTCAAACAGAAGTAATAATGGATGGTGATGTAAGGCTGCGTCTGTGAAATGAATGGTGTTTCCATGAGGGGATTAGTATTGATTTGTTTATAATCCCTATGTGTTGAGCATTAAAAAAAGTAGTTGGATGATTCATGCGGCCTTTTCAATAAACATACCGCATGCCATGTATTCCTCTTTAAGACAAGGTTGATGGCATTGCCCACAGTATGATAATGAATTTCATTATTAGTAGGATAATGTAATTACAGGGTATCCATCTGTTTATCAACATGATATATTTGGGTTACCCATGGCTTGTGTCTGAGCTCACATGCAGTAGCAGTTTAAGATGCTTTATTAGCCTGTATGTATATCCAATACAGTTGTCCTCTCTTTTCTGTGAATGCCATTAAACTGGTAGGTACGCACCAGCTGATGGAATCACAACACTACAGTGTGAAGTCCATTATCATGCATTAATGGAAACCCACTGTCAGATCATATCTGTGTCACCCTGCAGGCCACCCAGCAATCCATGGTGTGCGTCATCACCCTGACTTATGGTCTCGGTGAGGAGAAGAGACCGTCTTTGTCATTTTCTTTGATGTGATCTGCAACTGGGCACCAAAAGCATTTTTATGCGTTTGTGACTTATTTGTCAGATATTTTTTTTCCTTGAAAAGTGTCCATGTCTTCATGTGTAATCCCATCAACAAATGTGTGAAAATATAAAACAAAGCCAAGTCTTCTACCTTATATATGACATGCGAAGTGGAAATAAAGTAAATATGGTGGTGCACTGTCAATTTTATTGATGTACAGACCAGTAAATAACCTTTTTCAGGAATAGCATTCAAGAAAGGAGTTCTTCACAACAGTATATCAAGAGTGCAAAGACCATTAGCTGCTCTGTACCATGAATGTTATGCAGATCTGTCCTTCACCCTTTGGATTCATCTACAAACATAGATCACCATCCAGCAAAAAACACTCCAAGTGAAGGGAAACGGTTCACAGCATAGGTTGAAGAAGTATACAGAAAGCTATTATTTTTTAAATAAACATAACCTTTCCTCCATTACAATAAATATTTCATCAGACTAAATCTACAAAAACATAGTTTCAAACTTTAAAACCATAGATAAGATACCTGGAGTATTTACCTGGAATATAAATTAATTTATGTGAATATGACAACATTGAGTAATGCAGTGCATGTTCACAGTTTGTAGGCTTACCTATACACTTGCTCAGAATTGACCATTATACTTTCATGAACCTAGCCTGTGAATATATGACAGTTTGTTTAATAAATTATTTTAGAATGTAAAGGAAAATTTGTGACTCATAACATGGGAATATTAAGTGACACCAGTTGTCTGTGAATATGATTTATAATACACTTAAGAGAAAAAGGAAACAACAAGAAGGATATCTGGCCACAGGTAGTGAAGCTCAAACGGTGCATTCGGCTCAGATAGACCACTAAACAAGAGGAGATGCTTGAAAAAATAGAGAAGCACAGCACTTCATCTTACCAGATCTTTGATATCTAAGGCCTCAGGTATTTCATAAAAATGCAGTCTCCGATTCCAGATTTCCATCTGCTTTGTTCGCACTCATGCCTGAAACGTGTGCTGCTTCCTAATGTCTGAAGGAGGCATCTGTACGTGCTTTCTGCCTGTATGTATAGTTTGCTGCTTTATTTTGTATAAACACAGAGGAAGTGCCCTGACAATAGTGCTATATAAAACAGTCCTAAATATCCTTGATAAGAAATACCCTTTTTGCAATCACAAAAAGTCTTTGAGGGTCTGGCTAAGCTACCTTACAGTTACAAATCCATGGAATGTTTCTTTGTTCCTTGGTTGTGCAGACGTCAAGCCTTGAGTTAAAATCATGTTTCCAGATTTGTCAGGAAATATTATGCAGCAGTACAACAACAACAACGACACCAAAAAAAAGCATCTGTGTCAAGAGCTCTTCACCTTATCAGAACATGATAATTACTGTATGATGCATGAACATTATACATTATCCCTGAAAGAACACCACCAACATCACCATGGTGGTGTCTCCCATCTCATCTCACTGTGCTTTCTAAGCATTTCTCAATCTGAGAAATGAAAAATAATTTTTTTTTTTGTCAATGAATAAAGTCTTTACTTTTTGTGGATGTCCTCATGCCTGATGATCTTGTAGGTAACCCAGTAGAAGACATTGAAGATAAGGAACGCCAAAGGAAAGGCAGCCCTGGAAATAGTGTCTATCCTCTTGGCTCTGTCCACAAACTTCTTCTTCATGGTGTCTATATCCTTAGGGACTGATGGTTGAGGGGTGGGAGCAGGAACAGCGTTCTTAACAGCTGAGCCATCCTTCGTTGGCAGACACTGACTCATATTGTAGCCAGCAAAATTAAAGCGGCCTTCACGCATTTCATCATCCTGAAAAAACACATGCACATGTGGACAGAATGAACTTAATTGGTCTTTCTCAAAAGACTGCAGCTCAAAATGTATGCTTTACTTCTGGCCACTGGCTTGGCGTTGCTGTAGCACAGGGAACTTACAAAAGATTTTACAAACGCATTTAATTAAAAACAAAATCCCAAGATAACCTGGTGCACTTTAATGATAAACTGCTGAATCTTAATTCAGGCGAATAATGATAATGTTACACTACGTCAATATCCCAAACAAGAGTCTACAACCATGCTAGCAGCTCTGTGAGGCTGAAGTTAGTCATAGCGGTGCTTTGACCTAAAGCTAACATCAACATGCTAACGTGAAAATGTTTAGCATTTATAATGTTTATTCTGTACACACAACATCTATTTCACGTCTGTCAATCCTGAGATCTCCTTAAACGTTGCACAGCTTTCTTCCATTTTTGGCCCCATTAAAATTTTTGGAAGAGTTTTTTGGCCCTATTAAAACTTTTGGCCCCATTAAAATTTTTGGAAGAGTTTTTCCTTGTCGGAATCAATGGTCTAAGAACAGTAATTATCGTATATAGCCTACTGTAGCCTACATACTGTAAAGCAAATTTGTGATTTTGAGCAATATAAATACAATTAAACTGGCCTGACAAATCATCCTGAGGGTAATAATAATATAATAATAATAATCCTTATTTGTAGAGCACTTTTCAAAAACAAGTTACAAAGTGCTTTAACAAGTGTAAAGAATAATACAAAAAAGATAAGAGCATGAAAATTTAATATAAAATTAGTAAAATACAATAAAATAAAAGGGATAAAATAAAGTCAAATAAGATCGGGAAAGGCTCTCCTATAAAAGTATGTTTTAAGAAGGGACTTAAAAGAGTTCACCGACTCAGCCGACCTGATTTCCTCGGGCAGGCTGTTCCAGAGCCTCGGGGCCCTGACAGCAAACGCTCTGTCCCCTTTAGTTTTCAGTCGAGACTCTGGAACAGACAACAGACCTCTGCCCGAGGATCTCAAGGTACGTGCTGGTGCGTATGGGACTAAAAGGTAAGAAATATAACAAGGCGAGAGGCCATGAAGAGCTTTAAAAGTGATCAATAGAATTTTAAAGTCAATTCTAAAAGGGTACATGGCAGTCTATCCAAAAGATAGCCCATTGAAACATTTCAATGTGTTGCTAAAGGTATCGTCAAAGATATTAGGATTCACTCCCTGGGGACCGTGAATATCTTTTCAGAATTGAATGGCAATATTCCATTTTTAGCCATCCCTAATGGCTAAAAAGTTTGATGAACAGCAACCTTGTAAAGACTTTGAGAGCTTACCTTGTGATTCCTCCTTTGTCTTCGCCTAAGGCGAAGGAACTCTTTCTGTTGCCTGGAGACAAAATTAACCCCAGCATATTCTAGCAATGCAGCAAATACAAAGAGCAGACACACAGCCATCCAGATATCAATGGCTTTCACGTAAGAGACCTGGGAGAGAAAACAGATTCCCTTTGTTAGATCCTCCAAGGTGACAGCATTAGCTAACAGTTCAAATGCAGAATGAATTTTTGCTTTGACTTGAAATATTGGTAGATTCTTTCTAACATTTCTTTATTGATTTTGAGTCTTAGATCTCCATTGTAATCTGCGGTTGCATTTTTGTGTTTTTCTCCACTCATCTTACTCATTATGTCAGTTAACTGGGACTTCTAAATGACTGTAATTATAGGTAATGTTTGCTAACAAGTGTATCAGAGCTGCCAGTAATGTCAGTGATTGCATTAAACAGTGGGAAATAATTGCCACCTTAATTAGCAAAAAAAACTGTAGAGAACTGTAATTTGAATTTGTACCTTTAGCATTGGTTTTGATCTGGTTCTTCTGAGAAAGTGAGGATGAAACTGAGAGTCTTTGCTGCTCCTCGGTGCAACCCCTAACTTCATGACAGCTGATTAGCATGTGGAGAAAACAACTCAGCTTTTTGAGGGCACTTTAGGCATATTTAGTTTTTGTTTTCTTGAATCGAGGTTCTCAAAGGCTTCCCTTTAAATATTTATCAGTATACGTGTCTTTTATGTGAGAATCTCTGACGTGGCCAAGGCCTTCGGTGTTCATGTGTAGATGCATGGAGAGTGATTGATCATCAAGACCTGACTCTTCCTGCCTTTAGTACCCTTCACAATATGTGCGTGGTAATTAACATGATTGACAATATGCTACCACAGACTACCACTGCTGTCTGTAATGTACACATGTTCTATGATAACTTTGTTGTCATTAACAAAAATGTTGAATGCTGTGAATTGTACCAATTGGGTGCCAAGAGATGCCCAGTTAAGGTTTAATCATATGAAATCCAAAATCCTAAATTATGTGTTTCTTGTACCCCGGAGTAATACAGCAGCTTTCACATATTAGTTTTTACTATCCTTTCATTCACTTGATTGATTGTTAGTTCCTGTAGTGTCTTCTTGTGTCGATTGTTCATTTGTCTTCATATTTGCCTAGTTCATATGTTCTGTTTCACCTAAGCTCCCATGGATTGACAAGAAATAGTACAATCTAATCGATCTATTGATTACTCTACACTTTAAATTATAATAAATACCAGTAAATAAATTTGTGTCTTTAGCTCCCTGTAGCTATATCTTACCTTAGACCTTTTCATCAACAACAAATATACACACATGGCTATGGGAGAGTCTTTCAGTTTAGTCTCATAAAAGGTTCTGAAATGTACATATCTTAAAATGCAAATATATCTACATATATATTTAGAGGTGGATAGGTTTGCTTTTTACCCAAGGTCAGCTCTCAAAGTTAATAATAATTTGTACCGTCCATTCAGAACCGCAGAGTGTCATGTTTTAAAATGCCACCCTCAGAGCACCTTGAAATAACGTTTGTTCTTAAATTTCTTTTACATATTTGCCTCTGTTTCAGCAAAACTTCACACACAGAACATCAACTTTCTGTCAAACATGATTTAAACATTTACAAAGTACCATTATTCATATTAATGTGCCTGTTCAAAAACCGTAAGATGTATGTAATTGCAGTTAATTTCTTCCAAATGCATACAATAACTGGTGCGTGCCTTTATACCAGTGTCTATGTTCCACCAGTAGAGTGAGTATACATGATTGAGACGTACATATTTGATATAGTAGCGCGACATATTAGACCTACAAGTTTAAAACATAGTCTGCTGAGAAAACCGAACAAGGTTTACCTTTGGAAGAGAAGCTCTGGAGCCAGAGCTTTGGGTAGTCATGGTAAGCACAGTGGTGATGCCCAGCGCCACTCTGGCAGGAGCAGCATCCATATTGATCCAAAAAGACACCCAAGACAGGATGACAATGAGCAGGGAAGGAATGTACATCTGGATCAGGTAGTATCCCATCTGTCGCTCCAGATGAAATTTGACTTCTATACAGGTGAATTTACCTGCAAGAAACACAAATGCAATTCAGCTACAAAACCAGGAGATGTGTTGGCTGCGTGAACCATAAACAGCATATGGTTGTGTGTGTGTGTGTGTCCTCTGACCGGTGTTGTAGTGTTTTGTGCAGTAGCCCAGCTCCTTCTCTTCCCTCATAATGAATTGAGGCAGCGTGAGCCCGTCTGACACCTGCACTGCACCGTTCTCCAGCCACTCGAAGATCAAGTCATTCATGGTGTAGCCGACTAGAGCAGTAATAGAATAGATGAATCCAAATTTATATACACAGTAGATATTCACTAGAAAGTGCAGCGACACAACTGAGACAAAGTCATTGCTTACAGCTTTCCAGTTGCATTGTACAAGTTTGGACATCCATCGGAAAGTTCTTCAGGTCCATCGGGCAGGACAGAATGAGAGTCAACCTATGATGCAAGACAAAGAGGACGGACCACACCAAACTAGTGAACTAGTGGGTCGACACATGAAGTAAAAATAATTTGCTAGAAAAATTAAATTATAGTCGGTACTTTTTTGTAATCTCTGTATGGTGTGCTTCTTTCTCCTGTCTGACATATCATGTAGGATTCCCTCCAGCAGGTTCCTATCACACTTTCATTACTGCAACTTATTGTCTCTGTGATGCATTGTGGTCTGCAGTCTTCTCACTCTGTCATTTCTCTCATGAATGGAGAGAGTGGCTGACCACCTTTCATCTCTCCCGTTGACCCACTCTGCCTCAACACCTGAGCACTGCTCACCCTTGAGCTGCTCGCCAAATGGACTCAAAATTGATCTGCTTTATACCGCATCATCGCAGAGAAAATTGAATGCTGTGTGTGATTGAAGTTGTAGTGAAATGAAATGAATTTTCATATCTTGTACTGGGTTTTGCTCAAGTTCTGGGCTAATTGGCCTTTAAAATGTAATCCATCCTGACTGGGTTGCATGTTTCAGAATCTTCCACAATGCTTTTATGGAGTATAAAAAATTCTGCATGCGGAGAAACTAAAATGAAAAATTCCCCTTTTTTTAATCTTCGTTTTGGATTCTCAACAATGCCCCTGAGATTAGCTTGCCCTCTTGCAATCAGTGTTCCTTTATTAAAAATCTACATTGCACACAGAGATGCACTGTAGTTCAGTGAATTATGCAATTTCAAAGGAGTGATCAAAAAGAGATAAAACCCATTCAAAACTGTGTGTCTTAGATTGACAGTCTTTGATGTTTGAGAGGAAAAGTAAGAAAAGCAATAAGTGAACATGTCCTGGGGTGGTATATGTATCAGAGCTTTTGGTTCTCTGCAGTATCCTTCTTCAGATAGATTAGATTAGATTAGATTAGATTCTACAGACCCCATAATGCCAAATGGTGTAACATTTATTTCTGATTATTTTTATGATTTTCTCTTTTATTCACCTGGCAAGCAGTAAAAATGGCCACCACAACTTCCAGAGCTAAAGGCAATGTCTTATAAAACATCTGTTTTGCCCAGCTTACAGACTTTCAGTTTGCTATCATGGAAGACAAAGAAAACTGGAACATATTCTCAGCTATTTTTGCACCCATATCTTTTTCTTAACCAACCACCAAAACAGTTGCACATGCATTTTCTGTTGATCGGGTGATCAAATAATCGACTGAACGGTTCAGCTCTGGTGTAAACCTCTACTTTTAATTCTTGAGGCATTTTATTTCTCTTGTTTATTACAACATATCCAGCACGTCACCTGATACTGTAAAGGACAGTCCCATCCTTGAAGATCCGCAGAAGCTTGTTGTCTGTGGTGACATCATGGAAGTTGGCTCCTTTCTCATTGGCAAAGAAGAGGTCAGGCTTCCATATGGAGTCCAACATGGATGGGTCGAGGTCGAGGGAGGAATCTGGATATTTACTATACGCCAGCCGAGGGTCATTCCACTTCTGCCGCAGGAAGATGTTCACTCTGTAGTCCTGCAGAGATGACAAGCAGCTTTGCATATTTTGAAGTGCAGTGGTTGGGGTTATGAGGCAGCATGCTAGTCTTCATTGGTATAGGTTTTTAATATTATATATCCTTCTTTTGATGAGGTAGAAAAATTGCATTGGTGACCCTTGTGAATATTCTAATGAACAGAAAATTAATCTATCATAGAAAAAAATGTAATAAATACCAAGCAAGCAAATATCAAGAAGTCAAACACTTACATGTTCACATGTATTTTCTTGAATGATAGAATGTAACTAAGTACATTTACTCAAGTATCAAACTTAAGTACAGTTCTAAGGTATTTTTACTTTGTGTTTCCACTCTATGCTACTTGATACTTGTACTTCAAAATATTTTAGTGGGTAAGTTTTTGCTCCACTACATTTATTTTACAGCTTTAGTTACTTTATAGATTTACATACAAAATATATGATCAGTATATAAAGTAGTTCAAAAGATCTCTCCTTTGACTTCAACATTAAAATTCTGTTTACACATTAATGCAAATATAACAGAAATACAATAATATAAAATAAGTACATTTTGCTACTGATCCTTTCTTACTTTTTTGATTTTACTACTTCTTTCACCACTGATTTTGTTGTTTTTGCTACATTCATATTCTCACTCAATTACAACTGTTGTGATAATACAAAACATTCTCAAAAACATTAATACAAATAAGAACATGGCAAAATTAAAAAAAAGGAATTTCAGTGCACTTTTGGCAAAATCTATACTTCTAGGTGCCTATGTGTTCTTAAATTTCATACATTTGTTCAAATGACCAGTTTGATGTTTATGTTGCAAGTTGCATTTCCAAAACACTGACCTTACAATAACTTTGCTTATAAATTATAATTATATAAGAGAAGCTAAAGATGGATTTATAAGATGTAGTGGCTGATGAGGAAAACTCTGACCATGCAGTTATCAGTAAACTGAGTGCCACAAAGCTCAGTTGCACAGAGTAATTGATATGTCATGATGATGAGAGACCCTTATGTTGTTTGACATTTCATCAGCATATTGGCGGTTCCAAATATTTGCATGCGTGTCTAAAGCTGTGTAATTCCCTGGCAATCTTATGAGTGCCAGCTCCTGCGCAAATTATCATCCTTCATTCATAATCTAAGTAGTTATTATCAGTCATTATGAATCCTTTGATCATGATGAGTTTCAATGCAGCCTCGCAGGTTTTATGTTTTCCCCCCTTAGGCAGCTGGATGCCTTCACACATCACATTTTATACATCAGCTTGTTTGAAAGCCCCAGCCCCCAAACTGGCAGCACTTAAAGTGAATTGGTTGGAATTTCTTGCATTAATCATCAAACCTGGACTAACATGTATATAAGGGGCATCGGGGGAGAATAAACCAACTCTTATTTTGATAGCCAGAGAACTGAATTTTTTTTTGATATGATGTCTGTGTGCCTCATGGAGCCGCCAATAGACTCTTTGATGGCAAAAACAAAGTCTTTTCGTGAATACGTAGACACTGCAATGATAAATGTTTTTTTTGTAAAGGTAGATTAGGTGAGTAAAAAAAGACAACAAACAGGATGATTCATTTTTAACTCCTGAGCAGGGGTCAGGGCTTTAGAACATGTCCAAGCGCAACGCTGAACTCACCATTGTAGTTTCTGCTATAGAACCAAAGCTGTTGATAAATATGTTGCAGGTAACATTAACTGGTGGACCTGCAGGTTGAGGGATAGATAACACATTGACACATTGTTGAAATCAGCCAAAATGCCAGATGAACTCACCATAGTTGTCTCTGTGACAGAGCCGAAACTGTTGATAAAAATATTGCATGTAACGTTTACAGGGGGACCTGTGAAATGGGATGACAATGACATGATAGGAGAAAGCCTTAAACCATCAGGAAATTTGGGTCTGTTGGTTCACGAGCTGCGGTTTCACTGCGTATGTCAGCATGCATTAATACCAACAAGCGCTATTTTACAGAAGCTCCAGGAGTGGATGGTGACACATTGCATGCTTTGTAAAAACCAGACGCAAAAGATCACATACAACAGGAGAGGACCCATGTTTGGCTTTGGTGTGAGACTGAAAGGGTGTATTCTAAATTTAGCTGGATGTTATTAAAGTGCAATTATGTTCAAACTAAATGAAATCATTCGTGACAATAGCAAACTGTGTCAGCTTTGTTACAGTCTTTATAATTATGTTATGATCTCTTGTGTGGGGATCTTTTGTTCTTAATACATTTTTTTCCAACATCCATTCTTTACAAATTTAGCAGAGGACACATACACACACACAGACAAATGCATGCACACACACAGTCATTTAGGGCTGCAATGATTAGCCGAATAATCGATCAGTAAATTTACAGGAAAATTCATCAACATGATAATCGATCAGTTGTTTAAATACCAAGGAAATCTAGCTTCTAAATTGTGAATTTTTTCTTATTCAAACTACATATCTTTGGGTTTTGGATGTAAAAAAAACTATTTGAATATGTCAAAATTGGCCTTTTGGAAATTGTGATGGATTTATAACTAATTTGTGACATTTGTTGTGATTTACAATTAATCAATCAATCCAGAAATCTACAGATTATTCCATAATGAAAATCCTCATCAGTTGCAGCCCTACAGTAATTTGTTAGTTCCAATGTCAAGTCAGAGCATTTTCTCTGCAACACTTTGAGTACAAAGTAACCAGCATGCTCTAATGAGTAGTGTCATGTTTACTCCACAGAGTGTCCTGAACTGAAATTTCTTTGCGAGGGCTTGGTAGCTTATGCCATTTAAAGTCACAGCAAATCTTTTTTTTTTCTCTATCTGATAATTGAAGTTGTAAGCCCTTCCTAGTGCCCTTCCCATGTACTTTCCTCATTAATACTGCATGACACTTGGTACTAATATTTGCCTCGGTTTGTCGTCAGGTAGCTACATTTAACGGCAGAAGCAGAAAAAATAAAGCAGCACCTCCTCACAACAAACTCAGCAAGGAAATCTAGGTCAGCCTTCAGAAATACAGTTCAACACTCTCTTCAAAGTATGACTAGCAGGTTCGCAACCGAAATCATCTGTTTACATCACAGTGGGTTCATGCAAAAGTGTTTGTTTTCTAGCTATAAGATACTAGCTAGTGTACAACACAGGGAGCTTTATCTGCCTTAAAATACAGAATTAATGCAAATTAAACCAGCAACATTGCTTCATTCCTTTTAATCCACGTGTGCTCATTCTCTCTTAAATAGCTAGAAACAGTTTCTCTCTCTTAATCCCACCCCTGAAATTGCCAGCCTGTATTAAACAGGCTGTCCTCCTCACATCTTAAGTCTATTTCAGCCGTCTTTTCAACATTTTCCCTTTTCTCCCAGATGGAGTGGAAAGATCTGGGCCATGTGTTTCCGAATCCTGCTGATCAATCTCCGTGCCACACTGTCTGACTGCTTCAACAACTGGAATCCCCAAACCCCGACAAATCCCAGCCCACCTGACCCAGCCTGGAGTGGGCTTGAGCCCCAGCAGGCTGGCCTCTCCTCACTCAGCTCCGTTCCAGTGACAGATGCTGTGTCTGTCCTCAGCATCACAGCAACAACAACAGAGGATGTCAGTAGCCTGCAGCCTTGCCACGGGGGCACCATCCATCATTTGGCCTGTCATGGTGGCATCCCTGTGTGCAATTGTGGCTGGGATATTTGCATGCCTTTTTGTTGTAGTTTTCAAATTATGACTTAATTGAGATGTGGATTTTCTCTGACATGATTCTACTAAATGAAACAATGTTACAATGAGGGGGGTGACTTTATGATTGAATTCAAGCCAGGACAACCATCAACCATCAACCATCAACCATCAACCACCGTTACTGTCAACTGAAGTGATTGATTGTTCTTATCAAAGGGTAGGCTGCACATTCTCTTGGCATCAGATCAATGGATCTCCAGATAAGTAATAATGTTAAAATCTGGTGTGTTTACAGTTGCAATGTAAGTGCGGGGTATTCTGCATGCAAAAATACTCTATGTACTCTATGTATCACATGTGGACAAAAGGTGGAGTTTCTGTGTGTGTGTGTGTGTGTGTGTGTGTGTGTGTAAAGTGAGGTGTGTGAAGATTTCCAAAGACAAAGAAAGTGATTCACAAACCTTTAAAATTCGGTCTTATTCGTGCATCATACCCAGACGTGCGACCCATGAGTGAGTCCAGAAAGTCAGATGGAGACATGTTGGAGGATGATCTGGAATCATGCTCCTTTGCATCCACAACTCTGGAAAACACACACACACACACACACACACACACACACACACACAGAGTCAGAAAATCACTTTATCTGACAGAAGTCACGGCTGAAAACCTTATCTGTCGCCTAGCAGCTGCATGGGAGTGATGGGGGCAAGCACAGGGAAACTAGAAAATGCGTTAAAGCGCACACGTATCAGACATGCGATTTCGACGTTGTGGGCATCTCCTTTTAACGAGAAGGAGCTATATTTTCTGTCACATATTGCAAGATTACCGCACAAATATCACATCGTGCAGTAATTTCATGTGAAACATTGTAGACATGTTAATGATGCCACAAGAAAATATAAAATAATACCATCACGTGCATGAATGTCAAATGCTACAAAAAACCACAATCCCATAGAATATTTTAGGGACCATATATACAATTCAAACAGTTGGAAAGAAACACTCAAGCAATTACCAACTTAGTTTATGCAGAAAAAAGTCACTGCTCATTTGATATTGTTTCTTGAATTAAGTTTAAAATGACCTACATTAATTATCTAATTTTAAACTTAGAAGGAAATAATTATTTGTTTTAAATCTATAAAATCAACTATGTTCGCTAAACAAATTGGCCTACCTGAAGTTGTTTGTCTCCATGAAATATGTAAATAAAGCTGCCAAAACCTTAATAAAGGAGCGATTCATTCCTGGTGGCTTTCCCATGTGCTCACTTTTTTATTTCTTCCATATGTTTACATTGGTCAAACACATAATCCAAATGGGGCCACCGCTTTCTTCCTGACCAAGTCGTGGGCGTTTGGGTGTTCTTTTGTCACACAAAAATACAGAAGACATTCCTCAGCGCAGCCACAGATCATAGTTTAGTTTCATGAAACTCTGACTCCCTGAAACAGATCTCTCGAAGCGGCGGCGTGAACAAACATCAGTCCTGTGTACAGACGCCGAGAGGGTGAAACTCCAAAAACGTGTAGCGCTGGAAGCTCTCTGATTTGGAGTTGAGTCAGATCTAAAAGCTCGCTCTGTAAAAACAAACCCGCTGGCCAGTGTTGTTATGTGTGAAGTGAAATGTTTCGCAGGTGGAGGACTGTCCTCTGTTGAGGAATGGGAGTGGAACGCCTTTTCTCATTTCAGCGCTTGGACAGCTCTCGGTCCCGTTACGCGCAAGCGCAAGACTTTAAAGTGGCAAACGTGAGTTGGTTTTCAATAAGTCCATAAACGAGGGAGGTAATCATCACAAACACGTTCAAACATTGTCCTTAGTGTCTGTTACATAATCGGAGGTGTCAGTTTTAAATGGCACAGCTTTTGTTTCACGAGCGTACTCATCACTGCGCATCAGGATCAACTGGCTTTAGGAAATTATTTGGATAATGTGGTGAAGTCTGAAGTGAAAATGTGACTTAAAACCTACACTAGTAATAACATACAAGCCTAATTATTCTAGGATGCAATTCAGCTAAAAAACAAACATTTATACTGAGGGTGTATAGGCTAATATAAGATTGACTGGATTGTTGTAAGATTGACTGTTGTTTTTGTTCCCATTCTCGTGTGTTTAGAGCAACCTGCATCCTCACACAAATGTGAAAAGTGTAAACAAAGGACGCCACAGAAGCCGCTGGGAGAGTATTTGGTACCCCGGTTGCCCTGGAAACAGATTTCCGAGGCACATCATTGGGAATGCTGAAAGGTTGGCCTCCCAGAGCGAGACGGAAGAGAGCTGACTGACAGACAGAGACAGAGACGGCAGGAAATATACTATAGGCTGGTTGAATCCCAAGGGTGGAGGAACAGAGGTTTAGTAGGCCAATTATTCGACATATATGTTTATAACCTTTTGTTTTTTATACAGATACCGCATGGGGGTCTGGCAGTGTAAGGATATGAGTGGGCTGCGAGGCTTTCATGGACCACAGGCATGAATGACTCATTCCACATGAATACACAGGCATGTGCTGAGGAGGAAACAGCTAAACTTAGCGAGAAGAGGGGGAGAAAAAAAGGTATTTCATTCACATCAGACCAACAGGCATGGTGTTGTGAGATTCCTCTCAGCACATCACATGCCTCAATGCTGTGACGTGCTCAGGGCCATATTACACTTTAGTCTGACACTTGGTTACTGACCAGTTTCCAGATCATCTTAGCCTTTCTCAGCCTCGAGGACGAGTGCTCCTGGTCTCCTCCTCTGTTAATGCTGAAGTCCAAATTACAAGTGTCACACTGTATCTCATGGTTGGGAATTTGTGGCTTGCTATGGTGTGGGGATCAGTATGTGCATGGTATGTTCTATACAGCATGTTTAATCGCACAAATATTTACCAAGAGGAACATGTACGGTTGCACATGTATGCACTTTTTTAAAAATTAACAAACAGAAACAAAACAAAATGTAGCTTTGTGTGTCATGGAAGTGTCATGATGAGCAACACATCGTCCAGATTTATGTGGATGACTCTAATGTCACTGTACCTGATCCATGGCAAAACATTACATCTAAAAAAAATCTGATATTTTGAGAAGTCACTTCAAGAAATACATTTCTGGTTAAGGGCCAAAATTCTCTTTGCACACGAGTCATTTATTTCCCATCTCTGAGACAGCTGCTGTTGGCTTGTCTGTGTAATGACAACCAACCAGAGCTTCAATTGGCCATTAGTTTCCATAAGGAAAGACTTTGGGTCAGGTGGGTCACATAATTAAAGGAGAACAAGTCAAATCTGCTTGTCATTAACGAGAGAGAGGGAGATGTAGTGCGCCTCTCTCCTTGTGATAGGATAGAATAAAACAGAACAATCCTTTACCCTATGACTGTCTGTCTGTCTGTCTGTCTCATTTATCCAGCGGTTTCCACACAGCCATCACAATTACAGGCGCAAGACAGGCAAAGGCGCTATTTTAAAGCTGCCCACACACAACAAAGATTGATCGCTACTGCCCGTAATTCTGTGGGGAATTAAGGGTTTTACATCATCCGGTTCATTGTGTTGTCTAAAAGGATTTGCAGCACAATTTATAACTTAAAAATGAAATCAGAAGGTTTCTATTGCATATTTTGTAAGCTCTCTTTAATATGACAGCCCAAAATATAAATAGTTTAGCCGACTATTATGTTTAAATCTAAATTTGCACACAGAACCGTTTTTAAAAAAAGAATAAGGATGAAGCAGGAACCAGCTGAACCCCCTCCACAGCCAGCCAGCCAGCCACCCCCACCCCTAACTCAAGAGAGGATTTGTGGACTGGCTGGAGAGCTCACCTGGAAACAACAAGCAAGCGTTACCATCCTGATGCTCATGTGCACTGGACTGGAGACAATTGAGAGCTGCAGAGGATCTATTGCTCCATCGATTCCTTGTGTCTTTATCCCACTTAATGACTTTTTCGCTCTATAATTCAACTCATGGAGCTGATCCTGGGCGGAGCTAAGGATACGGGGAAGTAACTTGTGGTGGGAGGCAACGCAACAGTGAGTGCAAAGGATTAAATGAGTGGATTCTTGAAGAGACAGAAGGAAGGATTTGCAAATTCATCTCACAACACCCAATACACTCATCATAATCTCTCTATCGTAGGAAAATTAAGCTATTTTGAGGACAATGTGGTGCACACGAGAATTATTTAGATTATACACACATTCTGGGTGCAACACAGACACATGGACAAATGGTTAAAACACTCCTCTCTAGCTATAGTATAGAGTCATGCGAACCTTGGGTGAATGGACAGCCTAAATGCCCATGAGTATGGTGCTCCTTAGGTCATGTTAACCCTCAGGCCAAGTGGAGAGAGCAACGTTGGTCTTTACCAAGACTCATCTGTCAATGACAGTTTCCCTTCATCAGTGGGAGTAACCTGACAGCCACAGAGCCTTTCTCCATCACTGAGCACTGAAAACCCGCTGATCCTCAGTCTGGAGCCCCATACACGCTCCACATGTCTCTCTGTCTCTGCACATCCAGACAGCTGAATAAAATGCCACAGTGCTCTTTACAGGATATAGGATGTATACATCATATCAAACGCTTAAGACAGCGTTCAGCTTGTTAAGTAATTACTCTTCAAGCCACGGTGACGAATCCACCAGGTTTTTGCTCAGATCTGCATGTGAGGATGTCTCCCCTGAATACCAGTTTCTGTGCAGTCACCCAAACAGCACACACACACACACACACACACACACTTTTCCCTGGCCAATGTCTGCTCCATGTTGACACTGGCTCACAATTTATCTATTTCTAGCTCGCAGGCTTGTCTCACTGAGCGTTGTCACTGGAGCTGTGCAGCTGTCAAAATGATGCAAGACTAGATTGAAGATTGAATGCAGTTTCAACTGCTGAACTGGTTTACATCCATTTTTCCCTTTCAGTGGAGTTTAGATGTATGTTATGGGACAAATTACTCCATGAGAGGGACACTGGCAGAGTGGCAGCACTTGTTCCCTGGCTTTTTTAGATGTTTATGGAGAAACTAATCTCTTATGTGCAGAGTCTTGTGTTGAATAATAATGTGTGTTGATATTCCTCCCTAATGTGACAATTTTTAAAACTGTGGTTGGGAAAAAAATGTATGTGGCAGGAGATACTGTCAAATGTAGCCGGTTGCAACATGTCGCCAGGTCTGTCAGAAGGAACAGGGAAAGTTGCGATTGCTGTCCTATGGAGGAGTATGTGCGGGTATACATTCAAAGGCTCGCTGTTGGAATACAACACATGATGTGCTTGCACAAACGTGGCTTCATAAAAGTGACTAGTATGCAGCCTGTCAACTGGTAACACATTAAAGATGACTGACTGTCACACTCAAAATGATTCCAGTTTTATAGAAGTGAGCACCATACTGTAGCCTACTATGGAGGGTCATCTATGTTGTTTTCTGTAGGTAAAGCAAAACATCTTTAGCTTGTTGAGCTGAGCGACTGTGTGTTATCCTTAAGTAAAGAAGTAAAGGGTTGCTGGCAGCCCACAGAAACACTGTTGTCTATTATCAAGCATCAGTGTCTCCTCGAATGGACACTTGCTGTGTCTCTTCTCCTACTCATCACGTTTGTCTTTCTGACTGTCAGAAAGTAATGAAGGTTTACTACGTTCACAGCTGTGCCACAATTGTATTTATCCTTGCTGCCATTCAATGGTTACCTATGAATTTTAGAACTGATTTTAAGATTTTACTACTTGTTTTTAAAGCCCTAAATCGTCCGCCTCCTGCCTATATCTGAGACTCCCTGTGAGCTGGACCGATGCCTGAGATCTTCCGGCAGGGCTTTACTAATGGTTCCAATGTTGTTTTGTCACTAAACGTTACTGTCACCATTCTATTCTCATTTGTGACACCACAATGGGGAAACGAGACACCACATGCCATCAGGGAAGGGCTGTCCCTCCTTTATTTCAAGAAGGTCTTGAAAACTCCTCTCTTCTGAGAACACTTCCTCTTCTTACACCTGTAACCCCTAACCTTTAACATGCACTCCCTGTGCTCCTGTTCCTCTATCTCCTTATAACTCGCGTACCTTGATTGCACTATTTGTTAACTGTTATTGCATCCCCCCTGGGTATATACCCCTTTGATCCAGTATGCATTAATAGCTCTTACAAGTATTATTATTGTTACTCGCAATAATTTGTTCCTCAAATGTAAGTTGCTTTGGATTAAAGTGTCTGCCAAATGAGTAATGTAAATGTAAATGTAAATTCATAAAGTGTTTATAGGTTGTAACAAATGGCTTTATAAATGATTAATATCATCATTTGCAACTCAGACCCTTTTTTCTTATTAATGGTTTATAACTGATCTACAATGTGTAAATTGTTTATTAACAATTGATGAAGCTATTACCTACAACTGATATTTTGTCTTATTTTATATTATTTTGATTTACTATTAACCAGGGGCAACTCAAAAACAATAAAAAAAAACACATTATGTCCTTTTGAATGGTGCTACTGTACAACCAAACGTAATCAAATAGCTGTTTGGAATTATCGAGAGAGTGTGTTCTCATGCGCTGACTTCATAAGAGTGTTACATATGTCACAGTAAAAAGGTGCAGCTCTCATTTTGGAATAAAAGTTGTTGGTTCTAGTTGGGTGGTGAGCACAATGTGGAGCTATCAGATCATCCAGCGGTGAGAGACGTCAGACACCT